ATGATATATCTTTTTCCATTCTTTTTGTTTTGTTAATCATCATCTGAGGATATTTTTTCCATTGATTTTTTTTTTTTTTAAAGGAGGGAGGAGGAGGAGGAGGTGAGAGCAAGAGAGAACGAAACATCAATTGGTTGCCTCCGGTATGTGCCCCAACCAGAACCAGGGATCAAACCCAGGTATGTGCATTTGACCAGGAATCGAACCTTCAACCCTTCCATGTGCAGGCTGACGCTCTAACCACAGAGCATCACCAGCCAGGGCTTTTCCCCCATTCTTTTCCTTAAACTTGACTCTACTGTTATGTTTGAAGCAAGTTTCTTGTAGACAGCATATGGTTGGGTTATGTTTTTTAATTTGCTCTGCCTTTCTCTCTGTTGTAGATTGGCGTTTCAACCATATACATTTAATAAAATTATTTAGGTAATTAACATTTAATAAAATTACTGTTATGTTTGGGCTTAAGTTTTTGTTTTCTGTTTGTTTTGGTCTTTGTTTCTGTTTGTTTTTTAACCGTCAACCAAGGATATTTTTCCATTTTTTTGTTCAGATAGAGTGGGAGGGAGAGAGAGAAAGACATCGATGTGGAGACACATTCACTGGTTGCCTCCTGCACGACTTCAACAATGGCCTGGGTCGAACTGCAACCGAGGTACATGCCCTTGACTGGAATCTAACCTGCGACTCATTGGTCTGCAGGCTGACACTCTAACCACTCAGCCAAACCGACCAGGGCTCAGTTTTCTTTTTTCTGCATTCATCTAGATTATTTGAGCATTTTTCAGAATTTCATTTTGAATTATCTATAATATTTGTTAGGGTATCTCCTTGTATAGCTTTCTTTGTAATTGCTGTAGTGGCCATTGCACTATATATACATAACTTGTCACAGTCTGTTGGTGTTTTCATTTTACCAGTGTGAGTAAACTGTTGAAATCTTTCTACATCCATTTACCCTCCTCATTTATAATTTCATTGTCTTAAGTATTTTCTTTATATGCATTTAGAAAGATCAGCATTGTAGTTTTTGTTTCAACTATCAAACGTAATTGAGAAAACTCAAACGGGAAAGGAAATCCTATTGATTTTATCCATATTTTTGCATACTGTGTTCCTCTTTCTTTATGTTCCCAAATTCCTTCTTTTATAATTAATTTCCTTTCTGTTTAGAGAACTTGGTTTACCTATTCTTTTTAGTATAGGTCTGGTGACAAATTTTTCATAGTGTTTAATCACCAGAGAATGTGGATTTCCCTTTAATTCTGAAGGGAAATCAGAACTTTAGTTTCAGAACTTAAAAAATATTGGGCCATTCATTTTCTTTTGGCCTCCATACTTTCTGATGAAAAATCGGTTGCCATTTGAATTATTTTTCCTCTATAAGTAAGGTATCATTTTTCTGTAGCTATCTAAAAAGTTTTCTTTGTCTTTAGTTTTTAGAAGTTTAATTGTAATGTGTATTGGAATGGATTTCTTTTGCTTTATCCATTTGAGGTTTACTCAACTTCTTGAATCAGTAGATTACATCTGTTACCAAATTTGGGAAGTTTCAGATGTTATTTTTTCAGCCTTGCCTTTTTCCTCCTCTCTTTCCAGGACTCCAATGACATTCAAATATTAGATCTTTTGTTATAGTAACACAGATCCCTGATACTCTGTTAAATATCTTTCCCACTTATATTTTTTCCCATCTATTTTCTTTCTGTTCAGAATGGGTAATATTTAGTGTTCTGTCTTCCATTTCACTGATTGTTTCCTTTGTCCCTCAATTCTGCTGTTAAGCCCATCCACTTTTTTATTTTATTTTTTTAGTTCTAAAATTTCTATTTAATTCTTTATATTTCCTAATTTTTTGTTGAGACTGTTTCTTTGCTGAGGATTTCTATTTTTTCATTTGTTTCAATTGTGGTAGTTAGTGTTGAAGCTTTTTATGATGACTGCTTTTAAAATCTTTGTCAAAAAAATAAATAAATAAAAATAAAATCTTTGTCCAATACTTCTAACATCTGTGTCATGTTGTTGGCCTCTACTGGTTATTCTTTTTCATTCAATTTGCGATCATCCTGGTTCTTGGTATAATACGTGATTTAAAAAAAAATTGAATCCTGGATATTTTTGTGTTAATGTCATTTGATATTGGATCTCATTTAAACCTGTTTTAGCTGGCTTTCACTGACAACACATTGAGGGTGGGGGGGTGGGGAATGCTGCCTTGTTATCTCGAGGTGGAAATAGAATTCCAGGTTCCCCGCTAAATCTTTGTTGACACCTCAAGATGGAGGCTTCTTGTTACGGCTGGATGGGGATGGGAGTTAACATCTCCTCACATGGTCTCTACTGACACTGTGTAGGACAGGTTTTCATTTCTGACCAGTGGAAATGAAAGTTTCAAGACCCTGCTTGGCTTCTGACACCATCCCAGAAGGGGTTATGGGGTACCTTGTTACAGCCTCACAAGGATGGAGGTTTTACCTCTCCACTCAACCTTTGCTGGCAGGGTGCAACTGAGGTCACAATTTTCCTGTGGTGTTCAGCTGGGGTAGAGTAGTAGTTGTCTAAGAATTTTCTGTCTTGGTATGTTTCTGATTTCCTGGTCCTCTGGCCAGAAAGAGCAGGCTTTAAAGGGGGGTACGTTTAGTGTGTACCCCTTTATGTTGCCAGGTTGCTGACTTTTCGGCCCCACATCTGGGATAGATGAGGCAAAAAGAAAATCCAGGGGAATTCATCACCATAACATTCCTCAAGTCCCATGGCCCTTAGCTTATCTGCCTTCAGAGTATTCTTGTGTTTGTTTTATATATAATGTTCACACTTTTAGTTGTATTTAGCAAGATGAATAGTGAAAAGTATATCTATTCCATTGTCCCAGAAGCATAAATAAGTATGTGACATTTAATAAGAAAATTTTGTAAAATAAATTGAAGGGGAATGGAGGACTGTCCTATTTGTTAATTAAAAAGGCAATTTAAAGCTGTTGTAATAGAAAGTGCTGAGTATTGACAGAGGAGCAGGAAAACATTTGATACAGAATAAAAGTGTAGAAAGAGATCAATTATCCATAGACACTTAAAATGTAAAAGGAGTCATTTCAGAAAGGTGAGGAAAGGATGGACTTTTACGCAAATGATGTTAGAATAATTAGCTATCCATTTAGAAGAAAGAAGAGACCTATTTTATGCTAGGTAGGCATATGGTAATAAATTCCAGATGTATTAAAAATCTAGCCCTGGCCGGTTTGGCTCAGCGGTTAGAGCGTCGGCCTGCGGTCCAGAGAGACCCGGGTTCGGTTCCTCGGTTGCAGTTTGTCCCCAGCCCTGGTTGGTCATGTGGGTGGCAGCCACTTGATGTGTCCCTTTCACGTTGATGTTTCTCTCTCTCTCCCTCCCACTCTATCTGAACAAAAAATGGAAAAATGTTCTCGGGTGAGGATAAAAAAAAGAAATCTAAATGTGGCCCTGGCTGGTGTAGCTTAGTTGGTTGGAGTGTTGTTTCGTGCATCAGACGGTCGCAGGTTCAGTTCCCAGTCAGGACACGTACCTAGGTTGTGGGTTCGATCCCTGGTTAGGGCACATGTGGTTGATGCATGTGTCTCTCACATTGATGCTTCTCTGTCTCTCTTTGTCCCTTCTTCCCTCTCTAAAATTGATTTAAAAAATCTAAATGTGAAAAACAAAAGTGTAAGAAAATATATATGGAAATAATCTGGAGGTTGGGGAGCTTTCCTAAGCAAGACAACAATCCAGGAATTATTTAGGGAAACATTATAAATTTAACATAAAAATGCAAAAATTGTGCAGTTATTTGTAATATATAATAGACAAAGGACTCAATAACTTTTATAAACTGATAGGTCCTATACATTTATTAGAAAAAGTCCCTATTCAGCATAGAAGTATTAAAGATATGAAGAGTCAACGCACTGATTTCAGATGACTAATAAATTTAAAAACAACATAATGCAAATAAAAACAAATAATGTATTTTTTATTGACTTTATTAGGGTGACATTGGTTATTAAAACTATAGGTTTCAGATATAATAATGTACTATTTTTATTTGCCAGATTTGATAAAATTTAAAAGTATGATATCCGTGCTGATGAGGGAAGTAAGTATTCTTTTATCCTGTTAGTGGGAGCATAAATTGTAGCAGCCTTTTTGAAATGTAATTTAGCAGTATCCATCAAAAATTTAAATGCTTATATACTTGGACACAGTGAATTCCATCTCTAGGAGTATATTCTAAAATAGCAAAAGAAAATTTAAAGTTGTATACATAAATGTCCTTGGAACATTATTTATAATAGTTTAAAAAAGTAAAAAACTTATCATACTAAATAGAGTAACATAGTATATTTATATAATTGAAATAGTAAAAAAGGTATATATGTGTGTGAACAATCATGTATATGAATATCAGTGATGTATACAGAAATGACAAAAGCAAGTTGCAGATCAGGATTCCATTTTTTATTGAAAGATGCGCCTTTTAAAAATTTTTTAATCCTCACCCAAGAATATTTTTTTCCATTGATTTCTAGAGAGAGTGGAGGGGGAAGAGAGAGAGAAACATTGATGAGAGAGACACTTCAATTGGTTGCCTCCAGCATGTGCCCTGACCTGGGTTGGGGAGTGAACTTGCAACCTAGGTGTGTGCCCTTGACTGGGAATCAAACCTGCAACCCTTCAGTGTGAGGGCCGATGCGCTAACCACTGAGAACACCAGCCAGAGCCAAACTACTGTGATTTAAAAAGTATGTTTTATTGATTTTTTAGAGAGGAAGGGAGAGAAAGATAGAAACATTGATGTGAGGGAGAAACATCAATTGACTGCCTCCTGCATGCCCCACCTGGGGATCGAGCCTGCAACCTGGGCATGTACCGGGACTAGGAATCGAACCGGGACTTCTCAGTTCATGGGATGACACTCGATCCACTGAGCCACACAGATTGGGCAAGAACCATTTTTTTAAAATGTGTATTTCTGTTATTTACTGACAGAAATGACATCAGATGTATCATCACTGGGTCCAGCCATTGCCTCTGGAAACCCTGGGCCTGGGATTCAAGGTGGAGGAGCTGTTGTCCAGAGGCCTATTAAACGGCGACCAGGGTAAGTTTAGGATATATTGTGTCTGTCTCTCCTAATAACCAGCCTGACTGACTTAGTTACTGAACCCTCTTGGCAATTCCTAACCCTCTTTACTTCAACTGATTACGTACTACACTGCTCTCAAATAGTTCTTTTTAGTTCCTGGATATTTTATTTATTTATTTTTTCAATATAGGATTGATGCTTTTGTCTGAGTTTCTTATAAGCAGTTTTTTAAAACCAAAAATTTCTGCAACTTAAAGGACTATGACTAGTGCTGAAAATACATTGCTGTTTCATTAAGCTTTGTGTCTGCATTCTCAAAATCTTATTGGTAGGCTTTTTACTTTAATGAATTTAGAGAATGCTGAATCGTAGAATATTTCTTCAAGTTATTGATATGTTGTTTGATTTGGAATGCAGAGTCCATTCATTTCCAAAGTATTTATGAAATGCATGATCAGCATAAGGCATTGTGCTGATTGCTAGTAGGATATGAAGATAAATAAGACATAGCCCTTGTATTTAAGTTGCTTATGTTCTGAGAGGGATCATCATTACACACATAAGTATAATACAAGATAGAATATGCCAAGTTTGCTAAGAAAGAAACAAATAACAGTGCTGTGTGTTTCACAGTGTGGCAATACTATAACTGGTTGGTAAAGATTGGGAAAGACTTCAGAAAGGTTGCTTTAGAAAGGCCTAGAAGCATGGATAGTATTTTTATCCATTTTTTTGCATTAAAATTTTCCTTCTTTTTTTTTTATCCTCACCCGAGGACATTTTTCCATTTTTTATTTAGATAGAGTGGGAGGGAGAGAAAGGAAGAGAGAAAGAGAGAGAAACATCGACGTGAAAGGGACACATCGAGTGGCTGCCACCTGCGTGACCAACCAGGGCCGGGGACAACTGCAACTGAAGTACGCGCCCTTAGCGGGAACCGAACCTGGGTCTCTCTGGACCACAGGCCAATGCTCCAACCGCTGAACCAAACTGGCCAAGGCTCCGTTTTTCTTTTTAAAAATTATGTAGTTAATATTGTAGCTAGTTTTTAAGTTTTACCCCACCAATAGTAATGCAAGAGTGATCCCAGGATTAAGATGATACTGTGAGTAACATATTAAGACTTGCTATGTCTCCAAGGACTTTATATATTTTAACTTATTTACTGAGGCATAAGGTGAATAAATAAGTTACCCAAGATTCTAAAGTAAGTGGAAGATTTGTGATGTGAACCTTGGGAGGTTAGCTTTAGAGTCCACTTTCTTAAACACAGTATTATGGCTATATATAATCACAAGCAGAAACAATATAAATATCAAAATTAGGGGTCTGGTTAAGTTATAGTATATTTAAAAATGGAATACTGCACAACTGTTAGAAGTGACAAATATGTATCAGTGCAGAAAAGTGTTCACAGCGTATTGAGAGAAGAGGTTACAGTATATGTAATATACCTTGCTATCAGAAATATGTATAACGTGTGCATAGCCAAAATACTGAAAGAATACTCTCAATTATGGGTTTATGGGAGACTTGTTTTCTTTTGTTTTTCATTGTTTCCAAATATTTGAAATGAATGTGTGTATAATCAGAAAACTATATTAAAAAGAAGTAATACAGCTCTGGCCAGTTTTGCTAAGCGGTTAGAGCGTTGGCCTGCGGTCCAGAGAGACCCAGGTTTGGTTCCCGCTAAGGCATGTACCTCAGTTGCAGTTTGTCCCCGGCCCTGGTTGGGTCGTGTGGGTGGCAGCCACTCGATGTGTCGCTTTCACGTTGATGTTTCTCTCTCTTTCTCTCCCTCCCACTCTATCTGAACAAAAAATGGAAAAATGTCCTCGGGTGAGGATAAAAAAAATAAATAAATAAGAAAAAAAAAGGAGTAATACACATTCTTTTTAAGAAAGATCGGAAAGTACAGAAAGTTAGAATAATAAAATAGCAATAATACTACTGCCCAAAGTCATCTCTAATTAGTTTTGTAGTGTAATTCCTTTATTCTTTATATGTAGGTCTTTTTAATAGTTATGTAATTATATAGTTGTTTTTTAAATATGTTTTTATTGATTTTTTAGAGAGAGGAAGGGAGAGAGAGAGAGAAACATCAATGCGAGAGAGATACATGGATTTGCTATCTCCTGCATGCCCCCTACTGGGGATCGAGCCCAGGCATGTGCCCTGACTGGGAATCGAATTGAGACCTCTCATTTCATGGGATGATGTTCAATCCATTGAACCACACCAGCTAGGTGTAATTATATAGTTTTATATAGCCTGGTCTTTTCACCCAATTGTATATAGTAACCTCTTTTTTTCATATTGTTCCATGTTCTTTGTACACATATTTTTTAATAGTTACGTAAAGGAATGTACTTAGTTCCTATTTTGAGACGTAAGCAGTTTTGAAGATTGTGCTGTTAAATGCAATGTTCAATGAATATCTTTTTACATATATTTTTTCTCTACTTCAAGTTATTTCTTCAGGATAGATTTAGAAATGTAGTTATTGGGTAGATTTTGACAGGTATTTGGGGACTGCAGGGAGGAAGAGGAACAAATATTTTCAGGATTGAAGCTGCATACATATATACTCATCTAGAGGCCCATAATAAGTTTGTCACACTAGTATAGATGCCAAGAGATCACTGGGGGAAGGTGGTAATGTGAGTAATGCCTAAGTTGAATACAGTACAGAGATTAATAGGAGATTGAAAGTCACCTCTGCTTTTGGTGCTTTCATTGAACAACAGTAGCATATTGGTTATGTTCCTCACTCAGCACTTTCTCATTTTCCTTTGTTCGATATTTGTGTATACAAAGAGTCCCTTGAAGGCAAGTCTCTTTTTTTCACCTTATCTAGCATAGTGTCCTGAGTGTAGCATACATTACATGTGTATTAGAAAAATGAAGAGAAAAGAAGTATTGAACAACCTTCTGATGTCTTAAATTGCTTTCTTATGTCAATATCATTGCTTTGAAAGATGTTTCAGAAAGCTGGTAACACAGCTTAGAGTAGACTATAGAAATGAAAAGTGGACTTGAGTTATTCACATAAATTTCTTGTTTTTTTTTTTTTTTTTAATCCTCACCTGAGGATGTTTTTCCATTACATTTTAGTCAGAGTATAAAGTGAAAGAGAGGGAGGGAGGGAGGGAGGGAGAGAGAGAGAAACATTGATGTGAGAGAGATACATTGACTGTTTGCCTCCTGGGCTGGGGATCGAACCTGAAGTCCGGTAAGTGCCCTTGACCAGAATCAAACCTGCAACCGTTTGGTCTATGGGTCAACGCTCTAACCACTGAGTCAAACCAGTCAGGGCTGTTTGTTTTGTTTTTGAGTAGGTTTCTGTTCCTTTTGTAGAGGTTGTACTCTGATGTAAAATTTTGGCAAAGGTGGACTGCTACCCTGGGAAAATAATAAGGTAGTTGTAGGTAGCTTTTTTCGATTGCTCAGTTTCTTTGTTCAATATGGTACAATGAGGAAGAGGTGTCATAGCTGTGTTTGACTTCTGAGTACTTCCCCTTTCCTTCTTCCATTTGGGTGGGTGTTCAAGTAGCTTGTAGGTTGAGAATTTTTAATTTCTTATGTTCTATATTATCAGTAAGCTTACACTATTTATTATTGGCTTTCCCTAGGTTGGATTTTGATGATGACGGAGAAGGGAACAGTAAATTTTTGAGGTAAGATTTTGAAAAACTTTCTCTAGATTTCTGATATTAAAAATTACTTCAGCCCTGGCTGGTGTGGCTCAGAGGTTAGAATGTTGGCCTGATCACCGAAGGGTCACGGGTTTGATTCCCGGTCAAGGGCACGTACCTGGGTTGCAGGTTCTATCCCCGGCAGGCGCATAGGGGGGGGGGGGGGGAGCAACCAATCGATGTCTTTTACATCAATGTCTGTCTGTCTTTCTTTCTCCTTTCCCTCTCCCTCCCTCCCTCTCTTCTCCTCCCTCCCTCTCTCCTTACCTTCTTCCCTCCCTCCCTTCCACTCTCTCTAACATTAAAAAAAAAAAAATCAATGGAAAAAATATCGTCCTTGGGTGAAGATTAAAAAAAAATGTATTGATGGTTAAATAAAGAAATTTTGTGATACATCTCTCAGACATACTGACCTACTTAATAAGACTAATTGTGACAGTCTATTTTTATGATTGGCTGAAAGGACAAATGCACCTTTTAAATTATTTTTATTTTTAAAAAATTGTTTTTATTGATTAAAAAAAATTTTTTTCTTTATCTATTTTAGAGGGAGAGGGAGAGAGAGAAACATAGATGAGAGAACATCAATTGGCTGCCTCTTGCATGCCCCCCAATGGGGACCAGGCCCACAACCTGGGCATGTGCCCTGACTGGGAATCCAACCAGTGACCCCTTGGTACATGGGTCGACGTTCAACCACTGAGCCACACTGGTCAGGCTTTTATTAATTTTCTTTTCAAAGAGAAAGGAAGGGAGAGAGAGATAGAAACATCGATGTGAGAAACATTAATTGGCTGCCTTCTGAACACCCCCTACTGGGGATTGAACCCACAACCTGGGCATGTGCCCTGACTGGAAATTGAACCAGGACCCCTCAGTCCTTGGGGTGACACTCAATACACTGAGCCACACTAGCTGGGTCAAATGCATCTTTTTAGATTTGCATATACAGTTGATTTGAACAACATGGATTTAAGGGCACCAACTCCCATGCAGTCAAAAATCATGTATAACTTTTTTTTTAAATCCTTACCTGAGGATATTTCTCTATTTATATTCAGATAGAGTGGGAGGGAGGGAGAGAGAGGGAGAGAGAAACATCTATGAGAGAGAGACACATTGACTGACTGCATCCTGCGCAAACCCTACCAGGGCTGGGGATGAATCGCAACCCAGGTATGTGCCCTTGACCGGAATAGAATCCACGATTCATTGGTCCATGGGCTGATGCTCTAACTGCTGAACCAAACCAGTCAAGGCCATGTATAACTTTTGACTCCCCCAAAACTGAAGTCATTCCTTGGTATTCTTGGGTGATTGGTTCCAGGACTCCCCAAAGATACCAAAATTCATGGTTGCTCAAGTTCCTTACATAAAATGGTATAGAGCAAGGCATTCTGTCAGCCTTTTGCTGTGGATTCCAAACCAGGGAGCTAAAATGCTTTTTAATCTGTGGTTGGTTGAATCCGGTGATGTGAAACTCAGAGATATAAAGGGTCAACTCTTTATTCATTGAAAGAAATACACATATAAGTGGACCCACACAGTTCAAACCTGTAGTGTTCAAGTGTCAACTGTAGTGTTACAGGAGAAATCAGTGTGCCAGATTTCCCCATAGCTCAAGGGAGTGAGATTTTTGGGGTACCACTGAAATAAGCATTTCAGAAGCTCCCACAGGAGAATAAGATATGGTAAAAGACTTATTTGTGTGGAGTTACATTCTGGGTTGCAACGTCCTACCTTAGTCTAGTCTTGGAAAAGGGGCAGCTGTGGATTCAGCAGAGCTAGAAGCAGGGCCAGTGTCCAGAGTTTCCTTTCCATATTACAGCCAGGTCCAGTACATCATTAGTCCCTTAGTTCATTGTATGAAGTCCACATGGCTGTGGGCCATGTGGGCAAATGCAGGGGAATGTTCATCCTGTAACCAGAGAGCCAGGAGCTCAGGCAAGCAAGAGAGGGAACCAAGAGAGTGAACTTTCTTTGTTCAGAAGTTTAAATATTCTGGTTTTGTGCCCTTGGAGTAGCCACACCTATTCTGGCCACTGACTTTTTCCCAAATGTGACTGACAGGTAAGCATTTTCCCATGTCGCTCAGACCTTATTGGACATGTGTCTAAACTGCTTTTGTCTAGTCCCTGCCCCCATCAATTGCAGGGAATAGGCCTGCAGAGTGTTAACTTGAAGCTTTCTGGCAAAGCCACATAAATATTGTCTAAGGGGAAGGGTTCTGAAGGTCTGAAGTAAAAGGGAGATGTATTTTCACTACATACAACTTTGCACTGTTTAAAAATTTGCAACAAAATATATTACTTTGTGAACAAAACTAATAAATCAAATCTGGGCACTCACATAATAAAATAATTTTAAAAATAGGGCTCCTTTATTTATTTCTCAAATAGTTGTTACTCTGCAATGCAGACTCTAGTTATACTATATGAAGAACTCCTACAACACAATAACATCAACAATGCAAATAAATGATCAAAGAATGGGCAAAGGACTTGAATGGACATTTCTCCAAAGAAAATATGCAAATGGCCAACAAGCATACAAAAAGATGTTTAACACCACTAATCATTGGATAATTGCAAATTGAGACTACAATGAGGTAACACCTCATGCCCGTTAGGATGGCCACCATAAAAAAAATAATAATAATAACATGTTTTCTAGGACGTGGGGTAACTGAAACTCTTGTGCACTGGTGGTAAGAATGTAAAGTGGTGCAAAAGTTTTCCACTATGGAAAACAGTATGGAGGTTCCTAAAAAAATTAAAAACAGAATTACCATACGATTCAGCAGTCCCACTTCTGGTTTATAAATCCACAAGAATTTCCAAAGCAGGATCTTGGAGTGATATGTGCAAGTATCATGTTCATTGCCCTACTTTTCATAATAGCCAAGAGGTGGAACCAACCCATATATCCATTGACAGATTAATAGATAAAGAAAATGTGGTAGATACATCCAATGGACTATTCTGCCTTGAAAAAAGAAGGAAATTCTGTCACTACCACATGGATGAACATTGAGGATATTATATTAAGTGAAATAAGCAAAATAAGACAAAAAGACAAATACAGTTGACCCTTAAACAACTAACTCAGAGGTTGGGGTGCTGACCACTGGCACAAAAATTTTTTTTTGATATAAGTCAGCCCTTTTATATGTGGAATCCTAGCTGTGGTTTGAAAATAACAGTTGACCCGTGAGCAACACAGGTGTGAACTGCATGGATTCACTTAAACTGCATAAATGTGGATCCACACAGTTTACACCTGTGTTGCTCACGGGTCAGCAGTACTGTATGATTCTACTTATATGCGGCATCCAAAGTAGTCAACATCAGAAAAGCAGAAAGTAAAATGATGGTTGCCAGGAGCTGGAGGTGGTGTGGGGGATTGAAAGGAAAGACGGTGTTCAGTAGGTGTAGTTTCAGATTTGAAAGATGAAAAAGTTCTAGAGATCTTTTGTGCAACAGTGTAAATATAGTAAATACTGTACACTTAAAAATGTTTAAGATGGTAAGTTTTATTTTACGTGTTTCTTAACATAACTAAAAACAAAAAACCCGAAACTATCCCTAACCTTAGAGTGGTGTTGACAGTGTAGTCAGTTGTACCCTCATGATATTATCTTTTTTTTTTCTCAGTGCCTGGTACATAAGGGTAAAGGAGACATCAGAAACTTGAGCACTCGTAATGAGTTTTTAAAGTTCTATGGGATACTGTTATTATCTCTGTGGATTTATGGTGCTTTTTCTATTTTTTTTTTTTTCTCTGTTAAATATCTTTACTTCTATTTGTATTTCAGAGTGAAATGGATATAAGAAGTGTAATGCTTTGGACTAATCTTTTTTTTTTCTTCTTCAGGTGTGATGATGATCAGATGTCTAATGATAAGGAACGGTTTGCCAGGTAATGTAGTAGAACATCTTGGTCCATGTTGTAGGACTAGGCAATTCAAGCATACTGAGTTTTAATTTTATTTCAGTGAGAGATAATTTCTCTCTCCAATCTCTTTTCTGTTCTGAAAGCTGACTAACTTAGTATTATAATAATTATCATTTATGTTCAGGTAACATGACTTTAAACTAATGGTATATTTTACACTTTTTTTTTTAATGTATATGATAGTTATGCAGTGTGTTTGCTGGGTGTCCATAGGAACACAAACCGTATGGATTTCTTGATTGAAGTTATTATTAAATGGATCTACAAAATAAAATGGTTTTATTCTATTTTATTTTTTATCTTCACATGAAGGTATTTTTTCATTGATATTTAGAGAGAGGAAGGGGGAGAGAGGGAAACATGAGTGTGAGAGAGAAACATTGACTGGTTGCCTCCTAGGCGCCCCAGCAGATCAAACCCTCAAGCTAGTTATGTGCCCTGACTCAGAACTGACAACTTTTTGGTGTACGGGACAATGCTCCAACCAACTGAGCCATCTGGCCAGGGTGTTTTTGTTCTTTTAAAAATGGCCACAGAAACAATTTTTGTGGAGATAGGTTTTGATTGAAATAAATTTATTTAAATAATTCATCAAGATAAAAAACGCTTTGCTTTTTATTAAACAATAAATCCCTTTTTTAAAAAAAATCCTCACCTGAGGACATTTTTTCCTATTTATCTTCAGATAGAGTGGGAGAGAGGGGGAGAGAGAAGAGAGAGAGAAACATTGTTGTGAGAGAGACACATTGACCGGCTGCCTCCTGCACGACCCTGACCAGGGCCAGGGACTGAACCGAAATTGAGGTACGTGCCTTTGACTGGAATTGAACCCACAACTCTTTGGTCTGTGGACCGACGCTCTAACTGCTGAGCCAAACTGACCAGGGCTCTTCTCAACTCAGATATTGGTTTTATTTTTAGAAAGCTTATTCTTTATGTTATTAAGTAGTAAATTGTTTTTTAAAGATTGAGTTTATAGCTACCTCAGAAAAATGAATAATTCAAAATCTAGTGCTTAACTGCACACTTTTAGTTCTTAATTTATTGATGCTGCTGCTGCTCTGGGGACCATAGTTTGAGAACCACTGATGTAGAGAGCTAAGAAATATCAGTCAGAATAGTTTAAAACTTCTCTGAAGCAGTGCGATGCCATCATAGGCTTTGAGTGAGAGGATACTATATAAAATGCATACAGGATTTTTCTATAGAAGCAGTGTATAGGATTGATAGAAGAGAGACAGTGGTCAGGGAGGTAGCTAGGAGGTTGTTGAAATAATAAGTCAGCTATAAAATCAGGAGGACCAGGGATAGAGTGGTACCAATGGCAATAGGAGAGGAGCGAATTTAAGAGGATTTTGAATTTGTTTATCAGAATAGATACTTGTAAACACTTTAGGATTCAAACCATCTCTAAAATGAGAAGTTAATCATAGATATTTGGGAAATAGTTTTTTAAGCTGCATTAGAAAGTCAAGCCATCAAATAGTAGTAGTGGTGTAAGTTCACAGTCTCTTGACTGAAATTCCAAAGAGCTATGAAGACATGACCTGAACTATTTTAATCTTATATGCTCTGCTTAATGTGAATATTTATGCATTTATATATTTCATTCAGAAATATTAGAATGAATAAGGGATTATGGATTTGTAGTAGTAGGAAGCAGTAGGAATATTAGATAGTTTAATGTTCAAATAATACAACTTATTCCTCTAAGATATGATATGTTAATCTAGTTCACCTCACATATCGTTGGGAATTTAGTAGTCTTCAAAAGCTGACAATGTATGAATTTTCTAAATTAAAAAAAAAAAAAGATTTGTAGTTTAAAGAACTATAATAACCCAATGAACATGAAACTTGAAGCTACATAATATCACTCAGTTCTCTTTCTCTGCTCATTAGTATATATAAATGTTCACATACATAAAAGTTCTCATAGTAACTATGTATTTTGAGGTCTCTTTTTTCCTGCTGGCTCTTGTTTAGAAACTTTGTCATATATCAGTAAAATTGTGCTTGTCATTTTTAAAAGCTTGTTTATATGTTATACATTACTTAGATGTTTTATTTGAGGCTTCTTAATCTATTTGTGTGTGTTTTTAAAATGGAATTGATTACTGATATACTGGCCTACCAACACCTTGGTGTTTCTTCAGTTGCCACCAATCCTTACAGTATTTTCAGTTTTCCACACAAATTTAGTATAAATTCTTTGTAGCCCCCTCCAGGGAAGGGAGAGTTGGTGCTGGGGATCCAGCATTGTGTGGCTTTATTGCAGAGAAGCAGGGGAGTGACTGAACAGGAATTGACTACTTCAGGATCAAATCAGTGACAGGGGAAATGCCAGAAGCCTAGCTCTTAGTTTGACTTAAATAATCTTCCAATAAAACCTGGTTTGTGAGTATATGTGTGTGTGCCTGTGTGTTACAGAGAAATTGTATTTGTGATTGCTTATTTGACATTCTTACTATGATTTCCTCTTTGATTATTTCGATAGCATTTTCTTTCCAGATTGGGAGCAATGTGTGAAATAATATTCCCTTGTTTGGTTCTTTTTCAAGCTGTATATACTTGGTTTCTATAGAGATGAATTGGCAGAATGCTTTCTGTGTTTGGATTATGTTAATTTATAATAAATATTGGCCTTGCTTTTGTATTGACCTTTGTCCTGTAAGTTACTTTTTCTTTATTCTAATAGATGGCTTTGTAGAGTTACAGGCAAGGTTCCTATCCATATTTCCATTTTTTCCTCTGTTCTCTGAATCTATTTTGTTCTATTTCCTTTCCCCTCCCCTCCCCTTCCCTCCCGTCCCCTCCCCTTCCCTCCCGTCCCCTCCCCTTCCCTCCCGTCCCCTCCCTTTCCCTCCCCTCCCCTCCCCTCCCCTTCCCTCCTGTCCCCTCTCTTTCTCATAGTTACTATGTATTTTGAGGTCCCTTTCCTTTCTCCTCCTCCTTCCTTCTTCCATTCCTTTCTTCTTTCTTTTTATTCAAATTTTAGCTTAGCTCATTAATTCTATTTTTAGGTCTGATGATGAGCAGAGCTCTGCGGATAAAGAGAGACTCGCCAGGTAGGAGAAAAGTATCTTTTAGCATGATGATGCAGATAATGCTGCTTTTTCTATCCTTTTTCTTACTCTTCTCTTTTCTTCTCCTTTCTCTTTGTGTTTTTCCTTATCTGTGGCAGGAAGGAATAAGATTTTTTAGAAGTTTGTGTGTAATAGGAACTTTGGCTTTCCCTATCAGAAAGTGATTGGTGAGTTGAGGGAACTTTACTTAGGAATTTAAAAAATTGCTATTAGTTTTATAATTTTCTCTTTTCCTCTTTATCTCAGCATGAAGTTTCAGAACACAAAGCTTTTAGAAACAATGCAGCTGTACCAGTTGGTGCTTTAGTAGGAAAATACTCTTTTTTTTTTTAATCCTCACCCAAGGATATTTTTTAATTTATCTTCAGATAGAGCCAGAGGGAGAGAGGAAGGAAGAGAGAGAGAAACATCCATGTGAGAGAGACACATCGAGTGGTTGCCTCTTGCATGACCCCAACCAGGGCTGGGGACAAACCACAATCAAGGTATGTGCCCTTGAGTGGAATCGAACCCACGACTCACTGGTCCATGGGCCAATGCTCTAACTGCTGATCCAAACTGGCCAGAGCCAAATACTCTTTTATTAGAAAATTAATAAGTATGCCTGTGTTTGCAATTAGCTCGTGGCCTCTAGGCCTCAGCATTTATTTCACATCTCTCTGGAAAGCTCACCCTTATTTTCCTGTGTAGATTTACAACCTAGATTACTATGTCACAGCAGCACTGGTGTTGCTCTGGTGATTGAATCTTTTGTGGTTTCCCAGAAAAATTTCAGCAGACTTGATGTGGCTATTTAAAAGGTCAACCTTCTGGTCCTGGCCAGTTTTGTTCAGTGGTTAGAGTGTCGGCCTGTGGATAAGAGAGTCCTGGGTTCAGTTCCCACTAAGGGCATGTACCTCGGTTGCAGTTCATCCCTGGCCCCAGTTGGAGTCGTGTGGGTGGCAGCCAGTTGATGTGTCTCTCTCTCATTGATGTTTTTCTCCCTCTCTCCCTCCCTCCCGCTCTATCTGAAGATAAATGCAGAAATGTTCTCGGGTGAGGATTAAATAAATAAATAAATAAATAAAAAGTCAACCTTCTGGACTACAGTGTCAGAAATCTGTCAGATACTAGGAAGATATGTGCTTTAAGTTTGAGAGTAGAATTTTATGTTTCTCAGACAAAATAACTATATGTGGACCTCTGTGGTAAGACCTTTTCTCTATTTTTCTGTTTTCTGGTCTCTGCGATTTGGGATGATTCAGTAGGAGATAATCCATTGATCCCAACATCTTTTTTACTACTTTCCCCTCCTTTTATCTGTCATTACCTCTCTCAGCTGGGTCACAAGCTTATTTTGCTGCCGTTTCAATTCATGCCTCCTACTAACTCTTTCACCCTTCCAAAAACTGATTTGGCATGGTGTGGTGGGAAGAGCATTCATTGCATTTATTGGTATGAAGGCAGCTCTTGGAAAAGTCACCTACTTAAACTGCTTGACTTTAGTTTGCTCTTCTCATAAAAAAAGAGTTATGTTAGCTCTATTTTTTTTTTTTCTTTTTGCTTTGACAAAGAACTTTTGTTCAAACAGAATCCTTACATAGTAATAGAGGTAAATAAAATAGAAGTAAGCAAAGCTGCCCAGGTAGCAGAAATGCAGTATGTTGTTTGGTTCTCTCTGAGACATCTCCTGGAAGTACTAGGGAAATATTGGGCTTTTCAGAAATCCAATTTGAAAGTATTGGATTATTGTTTTTAACAATGATATCATTCTATCTTGATTTTGAGGATGTCAATATTAGAGATGTGTTCTCTTTACCCTGATGGAATACAAAATGTCTGTATACAGGCCTTTTCATCCTCCTCCCTACTCCACTCCTACTCTCTAATTCACTTTGTCCTAAATTGGGGACCCCATAAGGAACCTCTAGTAGATGGTGTCTTACAATCTCTTGAGCTCAGTGCACTAGCACCACCCCCAAGATAGAGAAGGGAGGACTTTGTGCATTAGTGGGACAAATAAAACTTCACAATCTTTTAATTCTGTCTTCTAGTGTTGAGAATAAGAGGGAAGCTTAGAACAAACATTTTATAGGCCAGCGGTATTTATACTATCAATTCCTTTATCAGCTTTTGAGCAACATACTTGTGTTAGAAAAAATTGGTCATTTTATGTTTTTAGTTTTTAAATAGTTGAATCAGTAAACACACAGTCAGCCAAGCTGAGATTATTTTTCTCTCCGGAACTTAAGTGACTAAAGTCAACATTTTTTTAAGACTGTCAGTTCTTAAAATGTTTTTTGTCCTGAGGGAGTGGTAATTTACATAGAAGATGAAGTTTTCAGGAAATAAAATTGCTGGTATCTGCTTATTCTCTGTCCCCTTGTTAGTTTCTATTCCATGCTTGCTTTGCATGAGGAGGTTGGCAAACCTTATTGTAACTTCTGAGACTTAAAGCATCCCTGACACTAAATAGCACATTTCGTCAGCAGCTCACTTGGTATCCATGTTACTTTCCCTGCTCCCAAATGTTCATATGTGACCACCTGGATGGGATTTCTCCTTTCTCTTTCTATGCAGGGAAAATCATAGTGAAATTGAACGACGGCGACGGAACAAGATGACAGCCTACATCACAGAACTGTCAGACATGGTACCCACCTGTAGTGCCCTGGCTCGAAAACCAGACAAGCTAACCATCTTACGCATGGCAGTTTCTCACATGAAATCCTTGCGAGGAACTGGCAACACATCCACCGATGGCACCTATAAACCATCTTTCCTCACTGATCAGGTCTCTGGGATGTACAACTATGAGAGAGTCTAGAGTCTCTAGTGTTGAAAGTTTTGATCTTTTTGGAGTAGATGACCATAATCCTGAATAGAGTGTGTCATAGCAGAGCTGAATTGGTAGATAGTTTAAAGGACAAGACTTCAGCTCTTAAGGAAGAATTGAGACCATGGGAAAGTTGAGTTTTGATTTCTGGCTATAACACTTATTAGCATTGGAAGTGAGAAATAGAGAAGACTTGTGAAAACTATTTAGCAAGCCTATAGGTATTTTAGAACTTCACTCATAAATACAGCCTATAAGGTAGAAAAAGAACAATGGAATCACTGGGAGAAGTGATGACTATGTCTATGTAACCAGTTCTCTTCCTTGGCTTTAGGGTTATAGAAAATGGAAGAAATTTCTTTCTTATTCCTGAAGCAGCTTCCAGTTTTAGTGATAAAAGAAGTCTAACAAGGAGTCGTCATTGCTTAGTGATTTGTTGTTACATTTGATGCGTTGTGAAAAGAATTGAGAAGGCGCCCTGGCCAGTTTGGCTCAGCGGTTAGAGCGTCCGCCTGCGGTCCGGAGAGACCCAGGTTCGGTTCCCGCTAAGGGCACGTACCTCGGTTGCAGTTTGTCCCCGGCCCTGGTTGGTCGTGCGGGTGGCAGCCACTCGATGTGTCCCTTTCACATCGATGTTTCCCCTCTCTCTCTTCTTCTCTCTCCCTCCCACTCTATCTGTACAAAAAATGGAAAAATGTCCTCAGGTGAGGATAAAAAAAAAGAATTGAGAAGGCAAAAACATTTCTAGCCTTTTGTGAACTCAGTCTGAATATGAATATGTGAGTGGCAGGATACATACATAAGTGAAAAAGATAAGAAAATGCATACAGAAAAGAAATGCATTTTAAAAAATATAATGATTTATATGGGACTAGATATAGTAGATATGTACTAGAGGGATTGCTGAAGTGAATAAAATGACCAGGCCTGCCCTGGCCGGTTTGGCTCAGCGGTTAGAGCGTCGGCCTGCGGTCCCGAGAGACCCGGGTTCGGTTCCCGCTAAGGGCACGTACCTCGGTTGCAGTTTGTCCCCGGCCCTGGTCGGTTGTGCGGGTGGCAGCCACTCGATGTGTCCCTTCACGTCGATGTTTCTCTCTCTCTCTCTTCCTCTCTCTCCCTCCCACTCTATCTGAACAAAAAATGTCCTCAGGTGAGGATAAAAAAAAAAAAATAAAAAAAATAAATAAATAAAATGACCAGGCCTGAGTGAAGATGGTCAGCAAAGACTTCTAAGAGTAAGGAAGCCATTTCTGCTTTGATTATTAAAAATAACACAGGCCTGCCCTGGCCGGTTTGGCTCAGCAATTGGAGCCTGCGGTCCAGAGAGACCTGGGTTCGGTTCCTGCTAAGGACATGTACCTCGTTTGCAGTTTGTCCCCGGCCCTGGTTGGGTCATGCGGGTGGCAACCACTCGATGTGTCCCTTTCACGTTGATGTTTCTTTCTCTATCTCTCTTCCTCTCTCTCCTTCCCACTCTGTCTGAACAAAAAACAAAAAAAATGTCCTCGGGTGAGGATAACAAAAAAATAACACAGGATTACTGCAGAAAATTTTGGAAAATCCAGGAAGTATAAGGAAGAAAAAAACTGACCTATAATGTCACTGTTATTCAAAGCATTTAAAGGAAGGAATATGATTTGGAAGAAAGCAATAAGAAGAATTCTTCAAAAAGGATAATCTATATGAAAGCACATATAGGACAGATTTTATATATATGTACATTGAAATAGTTAATCAGTTTGTTCTAACAGTATTCATACAAATATTGATTTACCATACTCCAGTTATGTACTTTTTGTGGGCTAACTAGGTGCTTTGTGCTGTGAGAGATATAAAGAATGATAACAGCCCTGACCGGTGTGGTTCCGTGGTTAGAATGTCAGCTCACACACTGAAGGGTCACAAGTTTGATTTCTGGTCATGGGCACATACCTGGGTTGCGGGTTCAATCGTTGGCCCCAGTAGGGATGCATGCAGGAGGCAACCAATTGATGTGTCTCTGTCTCTGTCTCTCTGTCCCCCCACCCCCTTCCACTCTGTCTAAAAATGAGTGGGAAAGAAATATCCTCAGGTGATGGTTAACAACAACAACAAAAAGAATGATAAGAGATTGTCCCTGATAGAGATACACATGTAAATAAATAAATCATAATATAAACAAGAAGCAGCTCTATGATACAGGTGCAGTAATAAGTCCTGTAGAAGTACAAATACGCAAAATAGAATAAGTAAATAGTGTTGTAAATTTTGGGAATAATGTAACTTGAGCAATGTGAAAACAAAGGCTAGTGAGAATGAATGGGTTATTAAAGGAAATCAAGTAGTTTATCATGCCTTGGGAGATGATAATAGAAAAGTAGCCTGGGATCTGGTGATGGAATATTTAGGTGTTACGTTAAATAATTTAAATTATAATTTTTAAGCAGTGGGGAGCCATCACTTAAGACTTGAACAAAGGAAAGGGAGCCTGAAGCAGAGAAGGAACATTTAGAAAGGAAACAAAGGTTGGAGTGTGATGGCATAGAAGCTAGGGGAAAATAAAATTTAAAGACCCAGGAAAAGGGACTTGAATTGGCAATTAGAAGGATTTGATTGGCAGTAAGTAATCTCCTGAAAACACACACACACGCACACGCTATGGTTTAGAGTGAAGATTACAGTGGGACTGAGGAATGAAAGATAAGAGGCTAGAGGCAGTGAATATACCATTATTCTTAGTATATAATCTTGGCACTGAAAAAGATGAGTTGGGCAAAGTTGAGGGAAGATTTGTGTAGAATTGAGAAAAGTTTATCCTATTTATAGACCTGAGGGGCAAGAGAGAGAAAACAGGAATATTTGTAAGAAAGATTCAAAAAGAGAGGGTGAGATAAAGAACTCAGTCAGTAATAAGCCTTTTTATTCCCCATCTTGAGTCCTGAGGTAGAGGGTGAGGTTGGATAGTGACATAGACACATTGAGGAAATACTATTGGGAAAGAATATCTTGTCAGTGTTATTACATTTAGGGTGCAAAGCTGTGGCTGTGGATCAGGCAGGAGCCAGCAGTTGCTTATGGAGAGATACTTATGGCCAGAAGTGTCTTACTTCTTCCCATGAATAATAATAATTGTTTTTTCAGAATTCAGTATTAACTTTATTTTTCTTCCTTGGACAGGAACTGAAACATTTGATCCTGGAGGCAGCAGATGGTTTTCTGTTTATTGTGTCATGTGAGACAGGACGGGTGGTATATGTCTCTGACTCAGTGACCCCTGTTTTGAACCAGCCGCAGTCTGAATGGTTTGGTAGCACACTCTATGATCAGGTGCATCCAGATGATGTGGATAAACTTCGTGAGCAGCTTTCCACTTCGGAAAATGCCCTGACAGGTATGAGATATGTAGATGGAAAATGAATGGAAGTCCTTTCTTTTTTTTTTTCTCAGACAAAATGTTTTAGCTCTTAAATTTGTATGTTGAATTTGGCAAGGCTTCTAGAATTTTCTCCTTTAATTAATATCATCAATTCTTTGTTGTTGTTTTTTAATTCCTCACCTGAGAATACTTTTTACAAATTTATCATCAGATAGAGTGGGATGGAGGGAGGGAGGGAGGGAGGGAGGGAGGGAGAAAGAGAGAGAGAGAGAGAGAGAAACATCAGTGTGATAGAGCCACATCGACTGGTTGCCTCCCACACGACCTGACCAGGGATGGGGATGAACCACAACTGAGGTACGTGCCCTTGACCAGAATTGAACCCGTGACTCATTGGTCTGTGGGCCATTGCTCTAACTGCTGAGCCAAACCTGCCCCAGCAATATCATCAATTCTTTTTATTCACATACAGAAACTATACTTTGTAGCTAACTCATCCTTAGAAACTGTTTCATTAGTGACAATGCTCATTAAAAGTTTATTTTAATCTTAATATATTGTAAAATAGAAAAACCAAACCTACAATACATTTTTTTTCCATTCTAAAAGAACTAAATTATCCATGTTTGTCTCATTTGTATGGGTAATTTACCTGGTATTTTTTCTATCCCCTTGTGCTTACTTTGTACTAGATTCCGTGATAATAGATTTTTACCTTAGAGGGTAGTTATCAGTCAGTGTATAAGGTCTTTTGTTTTTGTTTTTGTACTATTTTTCTGTCTTTTTTGGTTTGGTTACTGCCCCCCGCCCATTTTAATGCAATTCAGTCCTTTTGCCAGAATTTTGTTAAAGGAAACAAGTCACATCTGCTTCTAAGCAACTCTGGAAAAATTTTTAAAGTGGAAGCAGATCAAAACTGGTAATTAAAATAAGACCATTGTGGTTATAGTAATGTTGGTATTCAGTTATTCCCTCTTTTATGTTTTTAATGGATTTTATTTTTCTATTATTTTTTTCCCACCGTTGGTCTCTGTATGTTAAAGGAGGAAAAATTTTGGCTTGACACAGATACATGTTTCTATTACTAATAAAATTGTTTTTAAACTAATGACATTTACTCTGTGTGTGTGTGCGTGTGCATGCATACATATAAAAATAATTAGACCCAAGAATATAGCTTCACCTCTTGCTTGCCAACACTACTTTCCACTTCTACCTTCCCTTGCACAAGGTTATTTCCTGTGCTACTTTTGAACTTAAGAATAAGATTTAGTGATGGGAATTGAGGTATTTTAAGCCTGAAAAAAATCCATGCCCTCCTTGGCCTATTCTGTTATAAGCAAGAAGATTGGAGAGCATGAGTAGGTTACTTACTTGTTGCTTTCAGTGTCTCTCCCCCTCTTCTCCACATACAAGAATGTACTCCAGGCTGCTCTTCACATTCTTCTTCAGGGCGTATCCTTGATCTGAAGACTGGAACAGTGAAAAAGGAAGGTCAACAGTCTTCTATGAGGATGTGTATGGGCTCAAGGAGATCATTTATTTGTCGTATGAGGTGAGTGTCAAGCTGAAGATTGTGATTTGACATAGTAAAAATTAAGAGCTGAGGGTTTGATTTTGAGCCAGAAGAGTTAAATTCTTAAATGCAAGCTCCAGTTGGATTAAATTTAACTTGCTTTAAAAAAAAAATTTTTTTTTATTAATTAATTTTTTTTTCCTGCTTTTACTTTTATTAGTCTTTATTTTATGCTGAATTTATTTCCGGGCATAAGTTTTGTTTCTTCAGTTTCTTCTGGGATATCTTTTTTTTCTGTGCAACCTCCTCTTCTGGTTTAGGAACAATTAGCTCTTTCTCAGTAAGGATCATCTCAGTGAGGCAGGGAGAGCTCATGTATGGGTTAATCTGCCCATGAGCTCCTTAAGTTCTACAGCGCATTTTGGGAGCTTTGTTTACCTGGATGTGCTCAATGACCAGAGAATCTACATCTAAACCCTTAAGTTTAGCATCGCTTTCTGCGTTTTTAAGCATGTGCAGCAAAAACTCAGCACTCTTTTTGGGCCACTGACCATGTGTTCAGCCCCACTGTTTTGCCTGGGCACACCTACCAGCTCCACCATTGTAATGACGGAAAGGCACACTTTGCTTCTGTAAAGTGACATCCTTCAGATACTTGGTGGCTTTTCAAATATGCATACCTTTGATGGCCTGGGCAGTTTCCCGAGTGTTCTTAAAGTGAACATGAAGATTTGAACCTTTTGACTTGCATGATTTTGTGGGGTTTTCTGGGTCAAGTGAATAGCGAACCATTTTCAGAGGTTACCTCTGGCCGCTTTCGGGAAAAGGAATTATTAATTTATTTAATTTTGTTACAGATGTTTCTCCTTTTTTCTCACAGACACCCTTCTCCCTATCACCCCCGCCCCCAGGCATTGTTGTTTATGTCCATTGGTTTTGCATACGTGCATATAAGTTCTTTGGTTTATCTCATTCCTCCCCTGCCCACCTTCCTCCTCTGAGGTTTGTCAGTCTGAACATACTCCTTTCTATGTCTCTGGGTCTGTTTTGTTCATCAGCTAGATTAAATTTAACTTTCAAGACCCACATGGGTTGTAACATACAATAAAGTGTCTGATAAGGGAACTAACATTTACTAAATCCTTCCTATGCCAGACATTATGATAGGTGCATTATGTCTGTCATCTCATTTCCCACAACTGTCCTACAGGGCAGAATTCATGGTTACCATTTTGCTGAGAAAAAGCAGACTCAAAGAAATTAACTTCCCAGGATTGCATAGATAATGTCTGATACAGGATTTTATTTTACTCCATGGTAATTGGACTTCAAAACCTATATTTTCTTAGTACATCATGAGACAACATCCATGTATTCCCATCATTTCTGCTGTGTTTTTTTTGTTTTCTTTTTTTTTCTGGTAGAAATTTGAGACTTTCATATGTCTTTTAGTTAGTATTTAGTGTTTATAAATTTTATACTGTACATTTTAGGATTCTGAAGAAAAGGATGGTGGTACTTGCTATATAGGTAGAAAAGACCTCTTAAAGTCACAAAATAATTTCAGGTTGTATAATGGAAATTGACTACTTTGTACTGAGAATATGCTTATTAGAAGTGATGAGTAGGATATTAAGAAAGGTTTCCTAGGAAAGTGGCAAAATTGAATTGTGGCTCTGGTTTAAAGTAGCTTAGACCCAGACTACTGGATTTGCCACTTACTATCTTCTGAGACTCTGAGCAGGTTAAATGACTACTTTGTATTTTTATTTTATTATCTAATATTGGGAGTTATATGAATATCAACTTCATAAAGTTTTTATGAGGATTTGATGAATAAATATACATAAAGATGCTTAGAATAGTGCATGACACATACTCTATGTAAGTTTTATCTATTATTTGAAATAAGGGAAGGAAAGTAGAGAGGATGGGAGAGAGTGTCCTAATATGTGGATATAGCTAATGGAAAGACATAAGCAGGAGCAAGATAAATAATAACACAATGCAGCAAGTAGATTGGGTTGCGGCACAGAGTCGGCAAACCACAACTCTTTATTTATAGATAAAGCTTTATTGGAACAGTGCCATGCCATTTGTTTACATATTGTCTATGGTTGCTTTCATGCTATAATGGCAGAGTTGACTAGTTGCAACAGATTGTATGGCTCACAAAGCTGAAAATAATAACTATATGGTCCTTTACAAAAAAAGGTATACTGACCCCTAAAATAGAGAATCTCTGCATTTGAAGAACATGCAGAAAATTTCAAATTCAAATTCTAGGACAGTTACAGATTTTTAAATACCATACCTGACTTCTTTACACTTCCTTGATAGGAGCATTGTTAACAATTTTCTGTGTCTGGTTGTGTCTAGAACCTATTGTCCGGCTTTTAACGGCTGAAAAATTGTTTGATAATGCAGCTTAATTGTTTTTAACCTCTCTGTTCATTGAAACAGGTGTGGCAATAGCTCTGTGGACCCAGTTTCCATGAATAGACTGAGTTTTGTGAGGAACAGATGCAGGTGAGATTCTAAACTGAGAAACCAAAGGGTAGCCAATACCTGTAGAGATCATCACTTCTTCAACAGTGTTACCGTAGTACTTCCTTTAGCAGCCCTCACCCTCGTCCCTCACTTCCTGGCAATGTTTTCCTGAAATTTTAAAGCTTCTTTTAATTATCCTATTTAAGGAAATTGCCCTGCCACTTTATCTGCTTTCTGCTGCAGTACCTTAAGTTGCTTTACTTTGGCAAGGGTCAACACCAATATGAGGGTCACTTTTGGGAGGGAAAGAGCCCAATATAGTTATTCTTTTTTCTCAAGAACCTAAAGTTAAAGGTTCTAAATCAGCATTATCTTTAAATGTTATGAGTAGGGTTTTCTCCTCACACCTGTAATTCTTCCAGGAATGGGCTTGGCTCTGTGAAGGATGGGGAACCTCACTTCGTGGTGGTCCACTGCACAGGCTACATCAAAGCCTGGCCCCCAGCAGGTAGGAAAATTGGATAGTGATTTTTCTCTTGGTGCAGCAGTTTCCGCGGAGTCCAAGAAAGTTAGCTAACATTTACCATGTTCCTGGTAATGTGAAATGTACTTTGGTTTAGATTGTAAGAAAATAGGACAGAAGAACTTAACTCCTTTCCTTCCCTTATGGATTTATATTCCAGTTGTTGAAATGATTACTCAGACTTGAAAATGACTCATTGTTGGCAGTCTCACAGAATGTAGTTTTTAAATGTGCAAATTCATAATAATATATGCTGAATACATATGTTCTAAGTATTAGTGTGTAAAAAAAGTTGGCCTTGAATACAGTTAATTTGGGAAAGCTTTCTAAATTAGGAGCAATATTTTGCCCTGGCTGGGTGGCTCAGTTGGATGGAACATCATTTCATACACCAAAAGGCTGTGGGTTCGATTCCCAGTCAGAGCATGTACCTGCGTTTCAGGTTTAATTCCAGGTAGGGGTACATACAGGAGGCAACCAATCAGTGTTACTCACATTGATGTTACTGTCTCTCTCCTCTTTTCTCTTTAAAATCAATAAAAATATATCCTCAGGTAAGGATAAAAATAAATAAATAAATAAAGAGCAGGATTTTGAGGGAGAAGGGAGAAATGGCTTGATTGTAGTAACTTTTAAAAGGAATATTTTTTGCCAAGGCTTTAGATCAGGATGTGAGCAGATTAGCTTTACTAGAACTTGAAGTCATACAGGGACTGTGAGAAAGGTGGTTATGTAGGGACCGTCCTTTTAAACTGGCCTTTCAGAATATCCATATCTTAGCAACTTTGTTACTTCCCTGTTGGATGAATATGATTTGGAAGAGGGTGTTGTAGGGAGACAGAAATTAAGAAAAGAGAGGCAAGGTGGTATATTTTGGTAAGAGATTAAACTTCAGATTTGGAAAAACCTGGGTTTGATTCTGGCATTATTATTTACTAGCAGTATAACCTTGGGTAAATTGCTTGACCTTTGTAAAAACATTAGTTTTCTCATCTGTAATTTGGAGATAATATATCCAATATAGAGTTATTGTGCCAATTAGATTTAATTTAATGCCTGACATATGGTAGACATATAATAAATGGTAGTTAAATATAATTAATTTTAAATAGTAATGGCATTTGAACTTTAGGTATGTGCCCTGACCAGGAATTGAACCTGAAACCTTTTGGTGTATGAGATGATATTCTAACCAACTGAGCCACCTGGCCAGGGCCCTTTATTGTTTTTTTATTTATTTTTATTTTTTCTTTTATTGTTTTAAAAAAATTTTTTTTAGTCCTGGTTGGTGTGGTTCAATGGTTAGAGCACCAACCTAAGCACCAAAAGGTCGAGGGATCAATTCCCAGTCAGGGCACATACCTAGGTAATGGGGTTTTTTGTTTGTTTGTTTTTAATTTTTTTTTTTATCCTCACCTGAGGACATTTTTCCATTTTTTGTTCAGATAGCGTGGGAAGGAGAGAGAGAGAGAGAGTAACATCGACATGAAAAGGACACATTGAGTGGCTGCCTCCCGCACGACCCAACCAGGGCCGGGGACAAACTGCAACCGAGGTACGTGTCCTTAGCAGGAACCAAACCCGGATCTCTCTGGACTGCAGGCCGATGCTCTAACTGCTGAGCCAAACCGGCCAGGGCTAGGTTGTGGGTTTGATCCTCGGTTGGGGCAAGTGCAAGAAGCAACTGATCGATGTTTCTCACATCAGTGTTTCTCTCTCTCTTTCTCTTTCTCTCCCCTCCCCGCCTCCCTTGCACTCTCTCTAAAAATCAGTGGAAAAAATGTCCTCAGGTGAGGATTAATGAAATAAATAAATAAATAAATAAATAAATAAATAAATAAAATTTTTAATTTTTATTTATTCCAAGCACCTTAAAAAATTTTTGTTTATTTGTTTTTTATTGATTAATTTTTGTTACAGATGTTTCTCCTTTTCCCCCCACTGATTCCCCCTTCCCCCCCCCCTGCCCCTTCCCCAGATTGTTGTCCATGTCCACTGTTCATGCATACATGTGTATAAGTTCTGTGGTTCATCCCTCCCCCTCCTCCCCACTCCTTAGGGGATTGTCAGTCTGTACCCCGCTTCCGCGTCTCTGGGACTACCCCATTCCTCAAACTGTTATGTTCATTATATTCCACAAATAAGTGAGATCATATGAAACTTGTCTTTCTCTGTTTGGCTTGTTTCACTTAGGATGATACTTTCAAGGTCCCTCCATGTAGTCTCAAAGGATAAGAGATCTTTCTTTCTTACCGCTGCGTAGTACTCCATTGTGTATATGTACCACAGCTTTTTGATCCATTCGTCTAAGCACCTTTTTCCTTTAAATTTGTTAAATCTTTTATTTCCTTTTTAAAAAATGATAGTTGCCACACAGTATTATATTAGTTTCAGTGTATAACCTAAAGATGTGACATATACCTTACGAAGTGATCACCATGATAGGTCTAGTAACCATATGTCACTATATAAAGTTATTACAATATTATTGTCTATATTCCTTATGCTGTACATTATATCCCTATGACTTATTTATTTTATAACTGGGAATTTGTACCTCTTAATCCTTTCACCTTTTTTGTTTATCCCTATATCCCCCTTCCCTCTGGCAGCCATCAGTTTGTTTTCTCTATCTATGAGTACCTGTACCTTTATTCTTATCTTTTGGCATTCTTTTTTTTTTTTTAAATCCTCACCCAAGGCTGTTTTTTCATTTTTGTTCAGATAGAGTGGGAGGGAGAGAGAGAGAAAAACATCAACGTGAGAGGGCACACACAAGGGACACATTGACTGGTTGCCTCCTGCACGACTCCAACCAGAGCCAGGGATGAACCGCAATTGAGGTATGTGCCCTTGACTGGAATCGAACCCGCAACTCATTGATCCATGGGCCAATGCCCTAACCACTGAGCCAAACTGGCCAGGGCTCTTTTGGCATTCTTTATTGTTTTATACCTAGCCTCTTCATACCTAAATGCATTTTAAATCTTTACTTACCTGATTTTGAAGGCAGTTGAGTTTGAGATCCCCATTAAATCTTTTAACTTCCACCTTCCTAAAGGTGTCTCCCTCCCAGATGATGACCCAGAGGCTGGCCAGGGAAGCAAGTTTTGTCTAGTGGCCATTGGCAGACTGCAGGCAAGTATGAATTTTCCATGTCTATGTCATCCATTTTCAATGAGAAGTAATCTCCTTCAGGACTTGTTCATGTTATTTTTCTTTTACTCTCTGAATACAAATAAGCAATTCTATAAAAATTCACATATTTGGAGGAATATGGCATTAAAAGTTAATGTTGGCTCCCCTTGGATTTAACAGAAGCTGACGAGGATGAGAGAGGAAAGGAGATCTTTTCCTCTTATTTTTCATATATTCAGCTTTGCAATGCTGAATTTTCGATTTTCAACTAATTTCTTTTGCCTGTACACAAAAGAAGAGATTTTTTTCATTTATTATTACATAACTAACAAGAGAGAAGTGGAATTATTTCAATTCTTCTCATACAAATAGATAAGTTTTACCCAACCAGTGTGGCTCAGTGGATTGAGCATCATCCTGAGGATTGGGAGGTCCCAGTTCGATTCCCTGTCAGGGCACATGTCTGAGTTATGGGCTTGGTCCCCAGTGGGGGGTATGCAAGAGGCAGCCGGTCAGTGTTTTTCTCACATTGATGTTTCTCTCTCTCTGTCTAGAAAATCAATAAAAACATATTTTTTTAAAAAAAAATAGTTAAGTTTCTTAGTTACTTGGGCCTATAATTTTCCAATATGAATAATGAACACAGCCTAGCTAAGTGAAGGTAGGTGAGTTTTGGGTTGAATGAATTTTTGTCTTTTTTTACAAAGTTGGTAAAGTGTACATGTATGGGAGTGGGGCTAGGCCTTATGCCCTCTCTGATTGTGATTGTCATTTTTTCCTCCCTGGATAAGGTGTGAAAGTTTTGAAATTTCTAAAACTGGGAGCCTCATGTCTATGTAAATGACCATGAGCTGGTAAGAAATACATCTGTAAAGAATGGTGTAATTTTATCTTATTTTGTCTTTTTACTTTCAGGTAACTAGTTCTCCCAACTGTACAGACATGAGTAGTATTTGTCAGCCAACAGAGTTTATCTCTCGACACAACATTGAGGGAATCTTCACTTTTGTGGATCACCGCTGTGTGGCTACTGTTGGCTACCAACCACAGGTGAGGAGCTGGAGCTATTACACCCCTGACACTTTGGCCTCGTTGAGATTATTTTCCCTTGGTCTTGTTGAGATTATTCAATGATGTAATTCCAGAGATGGTCAGACATATTAGCCCCTAGCTCAGAGCTAAATTTATTCTGTCAGCTAAATTTATTCTCACTAGTCTGTTCTCATGTGGTCAACTAATTTTCAACAAAGGTGCTAAGAGAATTCAGTGGGGAAAAGAAATCTTTCAAACAAATTGTGATGGAACTATTGGATATCCATATGCCACAAACAATCCAACAAAAACCTTAGACTCTTATAAAACTTATAGAAATAGGAGAAAAATCTTTGGATCTTGAGTTAGACAAGATTTCTTACATGGCACTAAAATTATGATTTACAAAAGAAACATTGATAAATTGGATTTCATCAAATTTAAAATTTGCCCTCTTGAAGGGACATCATTAAGAAAATGAAGGCCCTTGCCAGGTAGTTCAGTTGGTTGGAGCTTTGTCCCAATATGCCAAGGTTGTGGATTTGATCCCCAGTCAGGGCACATACAAGAATCAACCAATGAATGCATAAATAAGTGGAAAAACAAATTTATGTTTTATCCACCCCCTTTTTTTCTACTTTCCTCTCACTTTCTACAATCAGTAAAAAAAGAAAATGAAAAGACCAACCACAAACTTAAAGAAAATTTTGGAAGTTATATGTCTGAAAAAGGATTTGTGTTCAGAATATGTAAAGGAATCTTACAACTCATTAAGACAGCCAGTAAAAAAAGGGCACAAGATTTGAATAGACATTTCCTTAATGGAGAAATATGACTGGCACATGAAAAGCTGTTTATCATTGTTAGTCATTAGGAAAGTGCAAATTAAAAACACAGAGAACCTGGCTGGTGTGGCTCAGTGGATTAAGCATTGTCCCATGGATCGAGAAGTCTTGGTTTGATTCTTGGTCAGGGCACATGCCCAGGTTTCTGGCTCAATCCCCAGTAGGGAGCATGTAGGAGGCAGCTGATTGATGTTTCTCTCTCTCATCCATGTTTCTATCACTTTCTTCTTCCCCCTCTCTCTAAAAAATTAATAAAAACATATTTAAAATAATTAAATAAATAAATGAAAATAAAAATAAAAACAGTGAGATACCACTGTATGCCAGCTAGAATAGCTATAATCAGGAAGTGCTACCTCAATTTTAAAAATTAAAATTTTTTTAATCCTCACCCGAGGATATTTTTCTATTTATCTTCAGATAGAATGGGAGGGAGAGAAAAGGAGAGGGTCATCAATGTGGTTGCCTCCCACATGACCCTGACCAGGGCCAGGGATGAACTGTAACCAAGGTACGTACCTTTCACTGGAATTGAACCCACGACTTGTTCCACGGGCCGACGCTCTATTGCTGAGCCAAACCGGCCAGGGCAAAAATTAAATTTAATTAAAAATATTTTTTTAGAATTATTGGCAAGAATGTGCGGAATCATCATACATTGTTGGCAGATATGTAAAATGGTATAACCACTTCAGAAAAACATTTTGGCAGTTTCTTAAAAAGTTAAACATAGATTTATCCCACAACCTAGCAATTCCACTCCTAGGTATTTACCCAAGAGAATTGAACACATGGTTTCACACAGATATTCATAGATGTATTATTCATAATAGCCAAAAAGTGAAACAATTTAAATATCTATTAACTAGTGAATGAATACTCAAAACTGTGGTATATTCATGTTAGAATACTGCTGAACAATAAAAAGGAATATACTGTTGATACATGCAATAACATAGACGAACTTCAAAAATACGTTTTAAAAAAGAAGCCAAGCCTTAGCTGGTTTTGCTCAGCAGTTGGAGCATCAGCCTGTGGATCAGAGAGTCCTGGGTTCGGTTCCTGCTAGGGGCACGTACCAAAAAAAAAAAGAAAAGAAAAGAAAAGAAAGAAACCAGGCTCTGGTGCTCAGTGGTTAGAGCGTTGGCCCATGGGTTCAATTCCAGCCAAGGGCACGTACCTCAGTTGCAGTTCGTCCCCAGCCCTGGTTGGGGTTGTGCAGGTGGCAACCAGTCAATGTGTGTCTCTCACATCGATGTTTCTCTCTCTCCCTCTCCTACTCTGTCTGAAAATAAATGTAAATATCCTTGGTGAGGACTGAAAATAAAAAGAAGAAGCCAGACATAAAAGACTACATACTGTATGATTTCATTTATATGAAATGTCTAGAAAAGGCAAAACTAAAGAAGCAGAAAGCATATTAGTGGTTGGCTAAGAAATTGGGAACAGGGGTTGACTAAATGGGCACAAGGGAACTTTTTTTTTACGTATTTTTTTCAACGTATTTTTGAAGTTTGTCTATGTTATTTCATGTATCAATAGTATATTCCTTTTTATTGTTCAGTATTCTAACATGGATATACCACAGTTTGAGTATTCATTCAATAGATCATCAGCCCTGGCCAGTTTGGCTCAGCGGTTAGAGCGTCGGCCTGTGGTCCGGAGAGACCCGGGTTCGGTTCCCGCTAAGGGTACGTACTTCGGTTGCAGTTTGTCCCCGGCCCTGGTCGGTCGTGCGGGTGGCAGTCACTCGATGTGTCCCTTCATGTCGATGTTTCTCTCTCACTTTCCCTTCCTCTCTCTCCCTCCCACTCTATCTGTACAAAAAATGGAAAAATATCCTCGGGTGAGGATAAAAAAAAAATAGATCATCAAATTGTACACTTAAAATGAGTGAGTTATATATATAAATCAACCTCAAATCTAAAAAATGCAGTTATAATAAACATACAGAGTTCTGGGAATAAAAATGTTCTTCTAGAGGCCAGTTATTTAGCAGGTTTCATCTTTTGTTTCTTTCATTTTTTTTCCCCCCTCTATACTTATCTATAATTCTAGGATGAAGACAGGAGAAATAAAATTCAAGTCCCCTGCTAATAGGCCAGGAAAATTAGATACTCATTAAAGTGTTGATATCACTCTTCTTTTCCCCTTGTAGGAACTCTTAGGAAAGAATATTGTAGAATTCTGTCATCCTGAAGACCAGCAGCTTCTAAGAGACAGCTTCCAACAGGTAACTTCTTTTTCTGGTTTGGGTCTGAGTAATATTTTTATCTGATATCTATTATCACATTCATTCCACAAATACTTATTGACTACTAGTTAATTAAGTATTGTAGGAGGCTACAATTTTACATTCTTTAGTACTTAACCTGTATTTTTTTTTTTTTTAATCCTCATCTAAGGATATTTTTTCTATGGATTTTTAGAGAGAGTGGAAGGGAAGGGAAGAGGGAGAAGCATTGATTGGTTGCCTCCTCAGCTTGCTGCCACCCTTTGGTGTGAGGGCTGAGCCACACCAGCAGGGCTTAACATATATATATTTTTTACATATATGTATATATTTAATTAATTAATTAATTAACATATATATATATATATCAATCAATGAGAGAGAACATTAATTGGCTACCTTCTGCATGTCCCCCACTGGGGATTTGACCCACAACCTCGTGCCCTGACCAGGAATTGAACCGGCAACCTCTTGGTGCATGGGTCAACGCTCAACCACTGAGCCACATCAGCCGGGCTTACTACTATATATATATATATATATATATATATATATATATAATTTTTTTTTATCCTCACCTGAGGACATTTTTCCATTTTTGTTCGGACAGAGTGGGAGGGAGAGAGAGGAAGAGAGAGAGAGAGAAACATCGATGTGAAAGGGACACATTGAGTGGCTTCCTCCCATAAGACCCCAACCAGGGCCGGGGATGAATTGCAACTGAGGTGCATGCCCTTGACTGGAATCGAACCCGTGACTCATGGGTTTGCGGGCCGACACTCTAACTGCTGAGCCAAACCAGCCAGGGCTTAACTTATATTTTTAAGGAACAAACTGTGAATAATATCCAAGGTATTTAATTTGTTTGGCTTTGGCTACTCATTGTCTTGAATCTAACTAGCATCAAAGGTTCTGTCCTTAAAGTATTTAAAATATTCTAGGCTTTACTGAACTGTGGATAGTGTTAGAAAAATTTATTTTACAGTTCTTTTATAGATAAATGAGAGTTGACTCTTAATTGTAACCTGACACTTTAATTATAATTTTCAGACCCTGTGTCCTGAAAATATCTGGTGAATTTGGTAGCAGTTCTTACTTTATATTAGACTAGTAGTTAATTTTCTTCTTTATGCCTCAATAGTATCCTCACTGATACAGTGAGTATAATAATAGTACGTAAATTCAGAGGGTTGTTGGGAAGAGTAAATAAGATAATTCAATAAAGCGCATAGCCCAACTTCTATAGGAAATCAGACAATGGCCAGTAAAAAGTATCTGTCTCCTGAGTCCTAAGCATTACCAGTTCCATTCACTCAGTTGCAGCTCACAGAAGGATCACATTTTATGTATGTGTAGTCTCAGAAAAACTAGTCTGACTTTTGTGGAAATCATTCAAAGCTAAGGATGAACTTACAGCAGTGTGGGACGTTATTGTACAGTGTATTTTAAATCCATGAAATTTGTAATTCTGATGCTTTTGGCCACAGAGTATCATTTTATCACTTCTGGAAAATGATTGTTTCAAAACAGCTTTAATGGCCCACATATCTATATACTCCATAATCTTAAGGTTATTATTCTGAGATCAGTTGTTGTTATGATTTTAGAGTACATAAGTAAAGGTGCCTTTTTGTCTGGTCTACAGCTGCTTGCTTAGTTGCTACTTTCCAGATTTTGATGTTTCTTAAGTCTAGATGGATTTATATTTCTTTTCAGTGCATTAATTTAGTTATTATTTTTAATGAAGCTTGCTCCCCCACCCCCATTTTGTTTACTTCACTGCTTTATTTCACACTTGATTTGTAAAAGTTTTAGATATTTATTTATTTATTTATTTATTTAATCTTACTCTTTACCTAAGGATATTTTTTCCACTGATTTTTTTTTTTTTTAGAGATAGTGGAAGGGAGGAAGGAAGGGGAAGAAAGAGAGGGAAAGAGAAACATTGATGTGAGAAATACTTCCGTTGGTTACCTCCTGCATGCGCCCTGACTAGGGCCAGGGATTGAACCTGTAACCTGGGTGTGTGCCCATGGCCAGGACCCTTCCATGCTTGGGATGACACTAGCCACTGAGTCATACTGGCCAGGGTAACATATATTTATTATTATTATTTTTGTTGTACAGATAGAGTGGGAGGGAGAGAGAGAGAGAGAGAGAGAGAGAGAGAGAGAGAGAGAGAGAGAGAGAGAAACATCGACGTGAAGGGACACATCGAGTGGCTGCCACCCGCATGACCAACCAGGGCCAGGGACAAACTGCAACCGAAGTACGTGCCCTTAGCGGGAACCGAACCTGGGTCTCTCCGGACCGCAGGCCGACGCTCTAACCGCTGAGCCAAACCGGCCAGGGCTATTTATTATTTTTTAAAAATAATTTTTCTTTATTGATTTTAGAGAGAGGAAGGGAGACGGAGAGAGATAGAGACATGGATAAGAGAGAACATCGATTGGCCGCCTCCTGCATGCCCCCCACCGGGGATCAGGCCCACAACCCGGGTATGTGCCCTGACCAGGAATTAAATCAGCAACCTGTTGGTGCATGGGTTGATGCTTAACCACAGAACCACACCAGCTGGGTGGTGACATATATTCAAAACATGCCATTTTATTATTGCTAAGTTAAATATGTCCCATTTTCTGTTATAATTATTTCTTAGTCAGTTTGTAACATCAGCAGTTACTGCTGTACTCATCAGCCTAAACATCTTATCACTTTTTCTTTTCTTTCTTTTTTTTTATTCTCACCCAACGATATTTTTCCATTTATCTTTAGACAGAGTAGGAGGGAGGGAGGGAGGGAGAGAGGGAGAGAGAGAGAAGCATTGACACGAGAGAGACACATTGACTGATTGCCTCCCACGCGACCCCAACCAGGGATGAACTGCAACTGAGGTACATGCCCTTGGCCGGAATTGAACCCAGGTCTCATTGGTCTGCGGGCAGACCAGCCAAGGCATCAGTTTTTCTTAAAAAAACAAAAGTGTAGATGTTTTGAAGTGCTGGCTTGTACATCATTGGAATGTGTACAGCAATAAGCTGGTTTTCAAACCCAGTACTTAGTTTGTGTACAAATGTAATTATGTCTGTTTTATATATATTATACAGTGAGTACATTTAAGTTTTAAAGGCTGCTTACTATTGTTAAATGCAAATATTTATATTTCTTTTTTTATCATGTTTAATAAATGTTGATGTTCTTGAAAGAAAAGCATAAAGCCCCAGTGATTGACATACAGAAATAAACATTAGCTACTATAATATTACCTTTTTTTTTGTTAGAGAAGGAGGGTCAAAAGATTATTGCTTATTAGACTAGAAATTTAAAAAATCTAAAATTAGTTTCTTTTGAAAAACTAAAGCAAAATAGACTAAAGGCAATTTAGTTTAATTTATCGAAACCTCCATGGGTGCTGTGAGAACAGAAATTCTTAGGTTTGGGGGGAAAGCTAGGATTAAGGAGCAACACTTATGTGTCATTAAACTTATAAATTTCTAGTATAAACTTGTAAAGCTAGATCATCATTATTTTTAAGGGGCTGTCCAAGGGAAGTTGGGTTAACAGTCTTATCTCTCTGGGAAATAATTGTTAATTTCTTTTAGACTTTGACTATAGAGGTCAGAAAGCTTGGGACTCGGGGAAGAAACATGATAAATATATCTCCTAAGTGTCACTTAGTTTTCATTCCTCGTTTTGTTAGTAAAATCGAAAGAGACTGATACTTTAAGGACAGTGACACAAGAATCTAAGGATTGTAGGGTGGAAATTTTATTTTTTAATTTTCTAAAGATAATTTTTTGTGGGTATCACTGATAGCATGAAAACTTTTTCAGGTGGTGAAATTAAAAGGCCAGGTGCTGTCTGTCATGTTCCGGTTCCGGTCTAAGAACCGAGAATGGCTCTGGATGAGAACCAGTTCCTTTACTTTCCAGAACCCTTACTCTGATGAAATTGAGTACATCATCTGTACCAACACCAATGTGAAGTATGTACCATAAAAGCCTTTTCCAATGTTGGTATTTCTCCTGGGCCAAGTCTACTTCCTTCCTTCTTTTCTAGTAGTAAATACTATTAGTTTGGAGTTCTTCATCTTCCAACATCTTAAAATTTGGGTAGTTCATCCATATAGAATATTTTAACAAATAGTTTAGAGACTAGGTTCTGAGATGTGAAGGGTTTGTATTTCAATTTTATGTTTCAATCCTCTAGAAAGGATTTTGTTTTATATACCAGTTTATTGCTCTAGTCTGGCAAAGTTTTTCTCTGTAGATGTCTGAAGATTCTTTCTATAAAAGGCCAGATAATAAATATTTTAAAGGCTTTGTGGAGTGTACAGTTGCTACTACTCACCTGTGCTGTTATAACATAAAAATAATCCTAGACAAATAAAGTGAACAAAGATATCTATGTTCCAACAAAGTTATATTTACAAAAACAGGCAATTGAATGGATTTGGCCAATGGACCGTAGTTTGCTTTAGAGTATGGCTCCATCTACTCTTTTGTTAGTCTCTGTTCCTCTCTGTATTCTTTGATTTCTTTCTTTTTCAGCTTTGTGAAAACAAAAAACAGTTTTATTGAGATAGATTTCATATGCCATACAGTTTACCCATTTAAAGTGTACATATTTTGAAAATGTGTCACAGGGTTGTGCAACTATTACAGTCTGTTTTCATTCCCCCTAAAAGAAATCCTGTACTCATTGCCACCACCCTCCAGGCCCCTATTCAACAACTAATCTGTCTATAAATTTACCTATTCTAGCTAGACATTTCATGTAAGTGGAATCATACAATATATGGTTCCTTTGTGGCCTCTTTCTTTTAGTATAATGCTTTAAGGGTCATTCATGTTATAGCATGTATCTGTGCTTCATTTCTTTTTATTGCCAAATAATACTCTTTTGTATTACTATACCACATTTTGTTTATTCATTCAGTAGTTGATAGACATTAAGGTGTTTCTACTTCTAGGCTATTAAGAATGCTGCTGTGAACATTTGTGTACTAGTTTATGTGGGGATATTTTTATTCTCTTGAGTATATACCTAGGAGTGGAATTGCTGGGTCTCATGGTAACTCTTGTGTTTAATCTTTTGAGGAACTGCCAACCGTTTTCCAAAGCTGCTTACCATTTTACATTCCTGTCAGCAATGTATGAGGATTCCAGTTTCTCCACATTCTTGCTGTTTTGTTTTTTTTTGTACCTATCCTAGCAGGTGTAAAATTACTTATTTTTTATTTAATCTCTGTGTAGAATTGACTTTGAATCCACCTCTTGAAAATCTGATTTTATAAATAATTAATAGTATAGATAACACCTGGTGATGACATTGAGTCTGTGTCCTCTAGTTCAATTTTTAGGGCTTGTCAAGTTTAATTCTCTGTTAATTAACTTAGTATAACAGAGTGGATTTAGAAATTTTTATTATCTTAGGACTCAGGTATATATGGTCATGGTCATTGTAGAGTTTTGTTTATTTTTTTCATCTTTATATAACAACAATTGTTTTGTGTTTTTATTTTGTTTAAATTTTGAAGTCTTTTAAAGAACTTTTTTCTGGAAATAATGGATTTTTTTTTTTTTTTTCTATCCTCACCTGAGGATATTTTTGCATTTATCTTCAGATAGAGTGGGAGGGAGAGAGAGGAAGAGAGAGAGAGAGAGAGAAACATCGATGCGAAAGAGACACATTGAGTGGCTGCCACCCGCACAACCAACCACGGCCGGGGACAAACTGCAACCGAGGTACATGCCCTTAGTGGGAACTGAACCCGGGTCTCTCTGGACCGCAGGCTGACGCTCTAACCGCTGAGCCAAACTGGCCAGGGCAATAATGGCTTTTTTACATAGAGTTTTTTTACATTTTTACATAGAGTTTTTTCCACCACAATTAATTTTAATTAATTATAAATATTTAAAATATATATATATATATTTTTTATCCTCACCCGAAGACATTTTTCCAATTTTTGTTCAGATTAGAGTGGGAAGAAGAGAGAGAGAGAAACATTGACGTGAGAGGGACATATCAAGTGGCTGCTTCCCACACAACCCAACCAGGGCTGGGCACAAACTGCAACCGAGGTACGTGCCCTTAGCGTGCCCTTAGCGGGAACTGAACCCGGGTCTCTCTGGATGGCAGGCCAACACTCTAACCGCTGAGCCAAACCGGCCAGGCCAAAATAAATATTTTTTATAGAAAATTTAGAAAGTATTGAAAACTATAAGAGAAAGAATAAAATTTCACTATCCAGAAATAGTCTTTTTTTGTTGTTGATCTTCACTCAAGGATGTTTTTTCCATTAATTTTTCTAGATAGAGTGGAAGGGAGGGAAGAGAGAGAGAGAAAGAAGCAGAGAAAACAATATGAGAGACATATTGATTGGTTGCCTCCTGCACGAACCCCAACCAGGGCCAGGGATTGAACTTGCAACCCTTCGGTCCGACGCTCCAACTGCTGAGCCAAACCAGCCAGGGCCAGAAATAGTCTTTTCAATGTTTCAGTAATTTCAGTTCTTTACTTAAGCTTTTTACAACCACAATGTGTGTGTGTGTGTGTATGTGTGTGTATATACACACATATATATATACATACACACATGCACAGCCACACAACTAGTTACTGAATGCCTAGGAAGAGTTAGAACCGAAACAGGATGAACCCTTATGCCATGGGACATAGTTTCTCTTTATACCTGTTGTCCATGATGTGAAGAATTTGTTGAATCTAAGGTCCTAGGTTACCTTTAGCACTGTACTTGAAAGAGGATTCTTTATTAGGGATCACCCCACCTACTGGTGAATATATAGACCTGTATGTACAAACAGATACATTTTTTTTCTTTATTTTACCTACTCTTCATTGTCCCAGGAACTCCAGCCAGGAACCACGGCCTACACTTTCCAACACAATCCAGAGGCCACAGCTAGGTCCCACAGCTAATTTATCCCTGGAGATGGGCTCAGGGCAGCTGGCATCCAGGTGAGAAATGGGAGAATCATTTATTGAGCAGTGACTAGCCCAGGGCTGTCTGCCATCCCATTATTTTTTATTTGTTTATTTTTAAAAGTCTTTTCCCCATATTCTTTTAAAAAATATATTTTTTCTATTTCTCTCCTTATTGGCCTTAACATATAGGCAGCAGCAACAGCAAACAGAATTGGATGTGGTACCAGGAAGAGATGGACTGGCCAGCTACAATCATTCCCAGGTAAGTGTGTCTTTGAAGAGGGATGGTGAGTATATTCTTAAAAAAATGTCTCCTAGTGCCAGTTAGACTATACATGTATATATGAATTTTAGGGTTAAGAATTGTCATGTTAACCTTTCATGGTTATTTTTATCATTGTATTCCACAGGTTTCTGTTCAGCCTGTGACAACCACAGGGCCAGACCACAACAAGCCCCTTGAGAAGTCAGATGGTCTGTTTGCCCAGGATAGAGATCCAAGATTTTCAGAAATCTATTCCAACATCAATGCAGGTGTGTTTCTTACTCATTCTCCTTTTAAATTTATATTTTGATCACTTAATGATGGGCCTGCTGCTGTCCAATCAGTAGTCCTCCAATATATTTCCACTTAATCGTAATACCTCATGAGTAAATAGGAACTTGCTGAACTAATATACTACAGCCCCTTGACTGGCCCTTCCCCCACTCCTTTTGGTCTGCAGATCAGAGTAAAGGCATCTCTTCCAGCACTGTCCCTGCCACCCAACAGCTATTCTCCCAGGGCAACACATTCCCTCCTACCCCCCGGCCGGCAGAGAATTTCAGGTGAGCCCCATATGTGTGTGCTGCTTGAAGGGCAACCGACCGATTCAGTTGCTGAATCCAAGTTTTATTCTTCCCTAGCTTTCTCTGGTTATTTCAGACCAAGCAGTGGAACTTGTAAGGCCTAGGATGAGGCGAGCTGCTTTTCTTCCTCCTGTTTCTTTGCACCTTGCCTGTTGCCATGTTCTAGGTTCCATCTCTTTGTGTCCTGGTTAGTGTATGACTGTCAGTCTCTCTGGTCTTTTCCATATTCTGTTACCAAGTTTTCCTTAACCCCATCAAAGTCAAGGGAATCTAAGGATAGCACTAGATTGTCCTGTGATTCCTAGATTCTGTGATAAACCCATTCTTTTAATTCTTTACCTTAATTATTTATTCACACCTAGAAATAGTGGTCTGGCCCCTCCTGTAACCATCGTCCAGCCATCAGCTTCTGCAGGGCAGATGTTGGCCCAGATTTCCCGCCACTCCAACCCCACCCAGGGAGCAGCCCCAACTTGGACCCCTAGTACCCGCCCAGGCTTCTCTGCCCAGGTAAAGTTTCTCATTTGTCTGTCCCCTGTGTATTGTTTTTTTGTTCGGTTAGTTGGGTTTTTTTCTATATGTAAAGTTAACTGTTGTTTATCTTATGCTCCTTTTCGTCAACTCCCACCACCTACCTTCCGATTTTTATCTTTGTTGAGCACAACTAGATAATTAACAACTATGGATAATCCAAAAATCTCAGAGCCTATGGTATTTACATATTCATTTTAAATCAGAATTGCTCCCATAAAACATCTTGAACAGATATGATTTTCTGATGTGTTTTGAAGTAAATTTTTTTTTTTTTTTTTTATCCTCACCCGAGGACATTTTTCCATTTTTTGTTCAGGTAGAGTGGGGGGGAGAGAGAGGAACAGAGAGAGAGAGAGAGAGAAACATCGACGTGAAAGGGACACATCGAATGGCTGCCACCCGCACAACCGACCAGGGCTGCGGACAAACTGCAACCGAGGTACGCGCCCCCAGCGGGAACCGAACCCGGGTCTCTCAGGACCGCAGGCCGACGCTCTAACCGCTGAGCCAAACTGGCCAGGGCTTTTTTTTTTTATCATCCTCACCTGAGGACATTTTTCCATTTTTTGTTCAGGTAGAGTGGGAGGGAGAGAGGAACAGAGAGAGAGAGAAACATTGATGTGAAAGGGACACATCGAGTGGCTGCCACCGCACAACCAACCAGGGCCGGGGACAAACTGCAACCGAGGTACGCGCCCTTAGCGGGAACTGAATCCGGGTCTCTCCGGACTGCAGGCTGATGCTCTAACTGCTGAGCCAAACCGGCCAGGGCTGAAGTAAATTCTTAAGGCTTTTCCACTTTGGTTAGGATTACAAAATATAGGAACAAAGGAGAAAATTAATTATGATGTCTATATACAAAAAAAGAACTGTTGGAAAGTCCTTATATATTATATGTGTATATATAATCTGTTAAGCGTAAAGCTAATATTTTTTCATACATTAATATATACTTATAACATAGTCATATATAATGTGCACTATATAACATGTGATATATATTAATAATAATAAATAATAATATTTTAAACTAAAAAAGTCAAAATCCAAAGTAGGCTCCAGAATTGTTATATGTATTGTAATCTCAATTGTATTAAAAAATGCATAGGAAAATAAAAACTAGAAAGAAATTATCCATCATGGGTCTTTGGTGGTAGAATTACAAATAATTTTTTTTTTTTTTTTTTAATTAATTAATTAATTTATTTTTTTAATCCTCACCCGAGGACAATTTTCCATTCTTTGTTCAGGTAGAGTGGGAGGGAGAGAGAGGAACAGAGAGAGAGAGAGAAACATCGATGTGAAAGGGACACATCGAGTGGCCGCCACCCGCACAACCGACCAGGGCCGGGGACAAACTGCAACCGAGGTACATGCCCTTAGCGGGAACCGAACCCGGGTCTCTCAGGACCGCAGGCCGACGCTCCAACCGCTGAGCCAAACCGGCCAGGGCGAATTACAAATAATTTTTAAAAAATGTTCCTTTACTTTGCAAATATTCCACAGTGCATTGCATTATTATTATGGTGAGAAAAATGCTACTTACTAAAAAAAAAATAGAAATCATTAGGAACAAATGAATGCAATATAGATTGAAAAATAAAATGATGCGAAGTGTTTTTTATATATGTATGCTATATTGTATTAATGCCTCAATTTTTATATAACTTTATAATTTATAAAATGCTTGTATTTAAATTATTTTCATTAAATTCTCACAACTCTAAATGTATACTTTTGTTAATTTCATAGTTCTTTTCTTTTTGCACTTTTTCACAACTGCCTAAATAGTATCAAGGGAGAATGGGGCTTAATTGGGAGGAATACACAGTAGGAAATTGCTGAGCTTGGCTCAAAAGAATCCAGTGATTGACAAGAGAGAGTTGACTCTCATAGGAATGATATGTGCAGTAATCTTAATGTTCCATTTATTGTCCTCAATTCCTTTCTCTCTTTTAGCAGGTGTCCACCCAGGCTTCAGCCAAGACTCGTTCTTCCCAATTTGGTGTGGTCAACTTTCAGACTCCATCGTCCTTTAGCCCCATGTCCCTCCCTGGAGCTTCCACTGCATCACCTGGTGCTGCTGCTTACCCTACTCTCGCCAGTCGTGGATCCAGCTTTGGTGAGTTCAGACCATGGGTTAAAGGAAAATCACAGCACTAAAGAGAAAGGATTTGGTAGTTAAAATGGTTTGCTGTGCACTGAACTAATTATGAGGAAATGCAAGGTATTTGGTATTTTGAACCTACCCACATGAAAAAGACTTTCATACATATAACAAAAAGCATATAAACTATTATGGAATTAATAATATGCAAATTTAATCTAAAATGAGCAAAGGACTCTTTGGAACAGCTTTCTAGAGAAGAAAAATAATTTGGGTTGGGCTTTGAAATAGAAGAGACCTTGATTGGAAGAGAGAAGGGCAGAAGGTTTCTAGGTAAAATTAATGACTTACATGTAGTTATGTGCTAGATTTTCCTCTCCAGTGGAATTAGTAGATTGAAGTTTATTCTTCCTCGCTAGCTCCTGAGACTGGACAGACTGCAGGACAATTCCAGACACGGACAGCAGAGGGTGTGGGAGTCTGGCCACAGTGGCAGGGCCAGCAGCCTCATCATCGTTCAAGTTCTAATGAGCAACATGTTCAACAGCCATCAGCACAGCAACCTGGCCAGCCTGAAGTCTTCCAGGTGAGAGACTAGAAAATCAGAAACTGGGAGAGAATGGGTCAGGGAGGAGAGATAGAGAAGGAAGCATGCATGTAGGGTCTCAGTGAGAGGAGACAGTAGGGACATGTAAAGATAATTGTCTTTAATAGGAAAGATTGTGAATTTAGTGTGATGTACAGCCTTTAAATACAACACCATGCAAAGATGTCAAAGAAAGTAATTATAGCCCTTTCAAGGAGAAGCACATCCCCACTTCACAGAGGTTGCGTATAAACATACTGATTATAGTTATAAAGGTCTGTTTACATAGTCCTGAGGGGACTGCAAGACTAAAGGAATAATCAGGACAAAGGAAGAGCTAGTTTACTTATTTATTTTAATATGTTTTTATTGATTTTTTAGAGAGAGATAGAAACATTGATTGGTTGCCTCCTGCGTGCCCCCTACTGGGGATCGAGCCAGCAACCTGGGCATGTGCCCTGACTGGGAATCAAACCAGCCATCCCAGTCCATGGGATGACGCCCAATCAACTGAGCCACATCAAACACAGGTTGAAAGAAGGCAAAACAGGTTTTGGTAGAAAACAAAGAAGATAAGAGCTACTTCATTATATACTAAAGAGGGTTATATGACATATAGCAAGCAGATTTTTTCCCCCCTTTTGAAAATACTGAGGACTAGAAAAGAGGGAAACATGTAACTGTAAGGGGAAGACAGAGAAAGGACTAGGAAAAATGGGTGTCATCTAATTTAGTCAGAGTTACTGGGACTAAGGAAGACTAAGAGAACTCAGCACAGCAGAAACTTTTTAGGGCCAGGAATGATGGTTCAGGGGAATGTTGGGAAGGGAGCTTGATAAATGTAAGGGATCAAGGTGTGTGACCCAAACTTATTTTTCTCTCATTAGGAGATGCTGTCCATGCTGGGAGACCAGAGCAACAGCTACAACAATGAAGAATTTCCTGACCTAACTATGTTTCCCTCCTTTTCAGAATAGAACTGTTGGGGTGAGGATAAAGGGGTGGGGGAGAAAAACTGCCATTTGTTTTAAAAAAACAAATCTTTTTATAAACAATAAAAATTCCTCTCCCCTCCCTTCCCTCACCCCTAATGTATACCCCCTTTCACTTCTGGTCTTTCCCTTGCCCTCCTCCTGCTTTTCTGACACAATTTATAGACAAGATGGAGAGAATCCTCAAGGCTTTGGGGACCCTTTGAAAAATTGAGGCTGGGTGAGGTTAAAAATGCCTTTCCTTATAGCTCCTGACCAGAAATTTGTACAGAGTGATTGTGATTTGTCATGGGGCAGGTTAGAGAACCTGACATCCACTATTTGCCTTGTACTATTACTTGTTTTGGAAAAGAAATTCTGAATAAGGTGTGGGAAAGGAGAAAGGGTCTTGTGTTAAAAATGCCTTTCCTTATAGCTCCTGACCAGAAATTTGTACAGAGTGATTGTGATTTGTCACGGGGCAGGTTAGAGAACCTGACATCCACTATTTGCCTTGTACTATTGCTTGTTTTTGGAAAGAAATTTTAAAGAAGATGTGGGAAAGGAGTAAGGTCCTCATGTTTGAGGACCATGAAACATGGTAGGTATATATGGGGCTTTAGTAAGTGAGAATGTGTTCTTTCTGCTGCCTGTGAACAGTTCCTCTGGAAAGAAACGTGAGTGAGGAAGTGAGAAAGGAGAGTGTGAGTGAGTGAGTGTGTGTTTCTGTATGTTTCTGTGTTTATTTTTTTCTCCCTATTAGGGAGTTATGCAAAATTTGTCCCAGATTTTATCTTTGTCTTTCTCTGTGTTTTTCAAAGAGTCCTAAGGCGTTAAATCTTCCAGGTATTTTCTACTTAGTATTGCAGCCAAAGAGTATTTAAATAAATGTCTTTGCTGTACTTACATCTGTGCCCAGCCAATATGCAGCTGTAAGCAAATATATAACATCTTCTGTTGATATGGTTGGTCTCTCATCAGACATTTAATGGTAAAGCGGGGTCATTCCTGCTTCTGGTGCTCTCACCTTATATGGAAGATCTGCAAACATTACAGAAATAGGCTGGCAGGATAAACACTTTCAGAAACCCCATACTTGGCCATAAGGATAATGCTGCATTTTTCTGTCAGAATTACATATCTGTGTTCTGTGGAGGTTATTTCTGCATGGAAACTCAACTTCTTGGATTAGCAGTCCCAGTGAAAACCCTCACTGGTGGAGTTTAAACCAAATGCCAAGCCTTGTTGCAAAGTAGCCTCTTTCATCCATTTTCAAAGAAACTGAGATTTAGGTCTCTCTAGGTCTATAGCTCTTTCCTCTTTGCTCCCTGTCCAGCCTTAAGATGGGATTTTGCTTTGTAGTGCAAAATGTAATCAATCCATGTGATAGATGGGACCTGGACTCCCATCCCAACAGGGTCACTTAGTAATTAACTATAGCCATATAAATGTGGATACAGGTTACTATCACTCTTTACCTTCCTCAGGTAACAGCCATGTGTACCAGCCTTTTTTTTTTTTTTCAATTGGCTCAGGCCAGTATTGTAAGTGCAAGACTGAATTAATAAGACATTTTAAATGTAGCCATAGGGGACTGAGGAACACAGATGGCCTTGGAGTGGCTGAAAGAATGTCATTACGGGGTTTCCCTCCCTTTTGTCTCCAGTCTAGTGCCAGATAGTGGAGTGGAAAAGGAGACAGTTTATTTTTTTATTCTATGTGCACACATACAGTATACATATATATTTATATCACAATTTAAGAAACCAAAAAGTTGAGTTTCCAATGAAATCGTTTTTTAATAATCGCCTGTTTTTTAATGTGATCAGGACTATAATATTGTATAGTTATTATAGGGTTTTTGTGGAGGGGAGGGAGAAGATACTCTGGGGGTTTTGTTTCTGCTTTTCCTTCAGGGTTTTATTTTTGATTGTTTTGTTTTTTCTTGTTGGCCATTTCTGTACTGCTGGCGTCTGTGCTGAGCCTTACGGTGGCATAAATAATGACATGTAGCAGGTATTTTAAAACAAAATATTTTTCCTTTTGTAAACTTTGTGTTGTGTCATCTTGATTGCGGCTTCATCATTCCTTCACAGCTCATAAACTACAACCCTCCACAACTGAATCCATAGCTTTAGCTCCAAATATACAAACACAAAGCACAACATATCTGTAATTTCAGAAATGGGAAATCATAGGGCTCTGATCACTCAGCATTCCTTGGTTGTCCTCCTGATCCTGAATCATTCCAAGTGAACTCAACAGGGACATCTGACCATGGTGTGGGGTTGGGGATTGCCCAAGTCCTTTTGAGAGGGGAGAATTGGGACTGGAGACAGTTGGACACATCTGGATTCCTTTCCCCAGTATGTCCCCCTCTTCTGGATGGAAAGGAATTAGGGATGGGAAATTTAAACTATTCAGGCCTGGACCTGGTTTTCCTCTAGGTTCACCTGCAAATCTGAAAATGCATAGGCATAAACCTTGAGAGTCTATGTATGTAATCTAGCCAGAATCTGAATCTATATCCCATGTATTATTCTTTCTGTTTCAAGGACCCTCTTTTCCTCTTCCTCCACATCTGTTTATGGAAGAATATGGAGTTCAGGAGTGTGGCTTAGGGACTAAACTAGACTCATGATCTGTCACATGCTTGGATATTGGGGGAAGTATGTGGAGCAGCTCATATGACTGGCCCTGGGTTGGGGATTTTAGTAATTGAGACAGATAGTGTTCATCAGGCGGGATGAGACAGTGTTCATCCCACCATCAGAGTTTTAGCAACAAAGAAGTCACATGTGAGTTTGTCAGTGCCTTGGCATTGATTCATGTGCTGTCATAAATTAACAAGAATACTGTTTTTTGGGGGTTTTTTTGGGACATTTTTTCATTTTTTGTTCAGATAGAGTAGAGAGAAAGAAACATCGACGTGAAAGGGACACAACAAGTGGTTGCCACCCGACCCAACCAGGGCTGGGGACAAACTGCAATCGAGGCACATGCCCTTAGCAGGAACCGAACCTGGGTCTCTGGACCGCAGGCCGACGCTCTACCACTGAGCCAAACCAGCCAGGGCTGTTTTTGGTTATTTTTAGAACTAGTTTCATCTGGACTTTCTGGGCATACCCTTCTTCAGCAAAACTATGTTAGGCTGGGAGAGATTCCTGTGCAGGGAAGCAGTGACAACGGTTAGCCAACAAGCTTATAAAAAATACACTCTCTTCCAGCCTCTTGTGTTTAGTCCCTCATCTCTGATGTATCAGACACAAATTCAAAAACAAGATTTAAAGTTGGAGAGATGGGTAACAGGAAAATATATAATTCTCCAATGTGATAAGTAATAAGGGTGAGAGAGATCAGGACTGTGTGCCTATGTCCACCAAAGAAGGTAAGTCCCATCTTGAGTAATGTGTATTGAGGTCTATTTTCACTCTCAAAGACAGTGAAAAAGCAGCTCTCCACCCTGGCTCACACACTCCACATGCATACAGAGACTGCAGATTCGCTGCCTCCTTCCCTCCTCCCTAATCCCCCTTCTTAGCATTTCTCTCCCCACCTCCCTCCCATATCCAAATTTTCCAGCCAACAGCTGGAGCTGACTTCCGCAGTTCTGATGGAATAAATCCAGCACTCCCAGTCATCCGCCCACACTAGCCACACTTCCCCTGCGGAAACAAGCCCAGAGAACAGAACCATCGGCAGGTAACATTTTCAACTTCCTAGCTCTTTTGGCTTTTCATTCCTGCCAATTCTACATTTCAGGGGTATTAGGGATGTAGTGACTTGAGGATCAAAATGAACTTTGTAGGTCATGTGCATGAAAACAATATGGCCTTTTTAGGTCATTTCCTGATCAAAATCTGTCTGGAAATCTTTAGGATTACTTCTATGATTTGTATGTATACATGGTTGTCAGTAAAAAGAAAAATAGGAATCCTTTGCCCATGTCTCACTTAAAAAGTGGCCTCTGGGTATTTTTCTGATTTGGCCAAAGGTACCAAAAGAGTTAACTTATAGTGGGAGGTGGAGTGATGCAGGGAGGTGGTAGTACTTCCTGATCTGAGACATCTGAAAGCCCTTAACACCCCACACATTAAATGTCCTACTGTATATTTGCCAGTTTGCAAAGATTACATAAAAAATAGACTATAAATTCAAAAATTATGCAACCAGTGTGACTTGCTACAGACTGAAAATTGTTCTTAAAATGGAGGACACGTAATTATGCCACTGCAAGGAGTGAAGCTAGAGCAAACCCCTGAAAAGCAAAAGCTGTGTATTTAATGATCATGGAACATTGCTTTTCTGTCTTACACTCTTTTAGCAAACTTTGGTTCTGAGGCTTTTTGTCCTGTGAGGCAGTCACAGAGGTTTTTGTTGTTAGTAAAATAAGCATATCTTCCAGCCCACCGCAGCTGGGGAGGGAGCAGGAAGAGAAAGTAAACAATGAAATATTTTCTCATACTTAGAAAAGAGGAAATACTGTCAACTTTTTCCTTGTCCTCTCCTGGCAAGGTCTGGAAATATATCAGAATTTAGGCATGGAAAAGATGAATGCCTTGAAGAAATGATCAGGAAGCAAAATGTAGCAGGAAGCCTTTCCTCTTGTGTGTTCTCCAACCACCATGTTCCACCCTGCACTTACCTGTTAACCTTGCCCATCCCTTCCAAGTCTGCTGGAGACAGTGGAGGAGACAAGTGCTGAGCACATGCTGATTATCCATTTTCTACCGTTTCTGGTTGTCAGTGCAAAGTGTGTGTGTGTGTTGAATCTCCCTATGTGAAAATACTTGGAAGCAGAAGTATCTGAACAGATGCCTCCTGACCAACACTGTTTGGTTTATCATGTGGACATCACCTTCGGTTGTGGGTCTACCTTCTTCACAAAGCCTAGTTTTCCTTTGCCTCATAATCCATAGGAAGGGGTTCTTAACTTCATATTCATGAACTCCCCAGAATTATTGTGTGTGCATGCTTTTTTCTGGTGAGAGCGATTATATAGTGGCTTGCAAATTATTAGTAGCTTCTCAAAGGAGTCTATGACCCCTAAAGGTTAAGAACCACCTGTCTGGGAATATGGCTCCAGGGGTTTCCTCCTCCTAAGCCAGGCTGGTTCTTGGCAAATAGAAGAGTCTCCCCTAATTATTCCCTTCCTCAGCATGTGGTGGCTCAAGGTTCTACTGTTGCTGCCCACGGTGAGCTTTGCGCTCTACCCTGAGGAGCTACTGGACACCCAATGGGAGCTATGGAAGAAGACCTACAGGAAGCAGTATAACAGCAAGGTGCCTGGTGGCCTGGAGGGGAGCATGGTGGGGGGCCTGAAACCTGAGCCCTCCGGTTATAGCTTCCAGACTCCCTTGTATCCAAGTACTTGAACCACTCCAACCAAGCAACCCTGCCCTGTTCCCTAACTGTTAACAGAGTTTTAATTTCTACTCCTCAAGTCACCCTCCATCAAGTCCCATCCTTACTTTCCTGTTTATCTGTCTTATATTTTTCTGTTGGAAGACTTCTCAGATTAATGCTATTAATCCACAAGCAACTTTCCTGTATGTCCCTCCAGATCTTTGCATCATATTATTTGAATTTGTTTTTATATATTTCTTTTTGCATGCTGTTAATAATCCCATGGTCATTCCCCAAACTAGATTGTATACCCTCTATTATTGTAAGTCTTATTTCTTCTCCTAAAAACCTCCACAATATCGTATATGTAACTTTGCACACAGGACAGCCTGTGCCAGTACTGACTGTGCTCTATTTAGGTGGATGAAATCTCTCGGCGTTTAATTTGGGAAAAAAACCTGAAGCATATTTCCATCCATAATCTTGAGGCCTCTCTTGGTGTCCACACATATGAACTGGCAATGAACCACTTGGGGGACATGGTGAGTTGAGCCTCAGCTCCTGGCCCACCTGCCCTGTTTGCCTTAGTTCCCTGCTAATGCTTGGCCTCTTTCTTCTTTGTCCCAGACCAGTGAAGAGGTGATTCAGAAGATGACTGGACTCAAAGTACCCTCATCCCATTCCCGCAGTAATGATACCCTTTATATCCCAGACTGGGAAGGCAAAACCCCGAACTCCATTGATTATCGAAAGAAGGGATATGTTACTCCTGTCAAAAATCAGGTACCTCCTGTCTCCTGGGAATGGATGTAAGATAGCATGACTGTTTCCTTTTGCTGTTTCTTTGTTTGTAAGATAGGAAGGCACTAGGAAGAAGGGGCAAGGAATTAAAGTTCCCTCTCCCCATGCGAATAGCCTATTCCATCATTTAACTCATCTCCCATTTTTGTACAGTTAGGTTGTTTCTGAGATTTCCTTTTTATAAATAGTGTTGTTGTAAGCACCCATGCACATATATTTTTGTATCCACGTACAAATACTTATGCAAAATAAATTCTGAAATTAAAATTGATAAGTCCTTTTCAAAAAAGTTTTTACTATCTTACGTTCTTATCAGCACGAGAAGGTCCGTTTTCCCACAACCTTAACAATGTTGATTGTATCAACCAGATGAACAACTGATTTAACATTGATTAGAGATTCAAGATGACTAAGACCTGTGTCCCAAGAAATCCTTAATCTTAAGAAATAGAAAGAAAGCCCTGGCCAGTGTGGCTCAGTTGGTGGAGCGTTGTCCCATGCACCAAAAGGTCACAGTCAGGGCTCATGCCCAGGTTGCAGGTTTGATTCCCTGTTGGGGCATTTGGGAGGCAACCAATTGATGTTTCTCTCTCTCTCTCCTTTTCTCCTGTCCTCTCTCTCTAGAATCAATGAAAAACATCCCCAAATGAGGATTACAAATAATAATAACAAGAAATTAAAAATAGAAAAGTCAGGCCCAGCTGGTGTGGCTCGGTGGTTGAGCATCAACCCATGCACCAAGCAGTCGCTGGTTCAATTCCTGGTCAGGGCACATGCCCAGGTTGTGAGCCCAATCCCTAGTGGGGGGCATGCAGGAAGCCAGTCGATGTTCTCTCTCATGGATGTTTCTGTCTCTCTCTCCCTCTCCCTTCCTCTCTCTAAAATAAAAACTAAAAAAAATTACCGCCTATCTTATCAAATACTATTAATAGCTACCATTTTTTATTATCCATATTTTACAGATAAGGAAATGGAGGCACAGAGAGGCTTAGTAACTTACTCATGGTCACATATTGAAGGGGTTGCAAAGCCTGTAATCTGCTATACTATAACCAATGAAACAGTAGTAACAAAATTTATTAATAGCAACAGTAGCAATAGAAGAATGCAACAAATGTTAAATGAAGGGAAATAGGAAGACTTCACAGCAAAGAGGACATGTGTGATTTATAAAATTTATGGAATCTCATCAGACAGGTAGAGGTAAAACCCAAAAAGTGTGCATAGCAATGACTGATAGTTTGTCTGTTATGACTCTCAGGGTCAATGTGGTTCCTGTTGGGCCTTTAGCTCTGTGGGTGCCCTGGAGGGCCAGCTTAAGAAGAAAACTGGTAAACTCTTAAATCTGAGTCCCCAGAACCTGGTGGATTGTGTGTCTGAGAATGATGGCTGCGGAGGGGGCTACATGACCAATGCCTTCCAGTATGTGCAGAAGAACAGGGGCATTGACTCTGAAGATGCCTACCCATATGTGGGCCAGGTGAGGCTGCCCCACACAGGTGTACAGCTCTGTAATGGAGCCTCCCGCCCCAGCATGATATTTTGTACTGGAAACAATTCCAGAAATCTTGTTTCCTGTTACTTTATTCTGCTTCATTGATGGGATAATTGCCAACAGAAGGCCAAGAAGATTCCCACAATCTGGGGGAATTTGGGGAGCTTAGGCTACTACAGATCTTGTCTGCTTCTCTTCCTGGGGGGATAAACAAACAAACAGAGGATAAGTTATTCCATAGATCTCTGAGAAGGTTCTATAACCCTCTGCTCAACTCCCACTCACATCACAAATCTAATTTCATGGATTATGTGGCTTTATTTTGTATGATCTTGGTGTGTGTTTGGGGAATGTTTAAGCAAATTATGTAACATGCTAACATGTATAAAATGAGAGAAAAGCGAAGTTGCTTCATATTTGTTGTACTTTTAGAGGTCAACTCACTTCCTCCTAAAAGATTGTTTAGCAATAGAAAGCAGATCTTTCTTATCTAAAATGAAGAAGATCTGAGGGCTTTATGTATATGTGGAGTTGATAGATAATATAATATGGGGTCTTTGCAACAGGAGCCTTTGAAGAAGGGATAGTGATGGCTACTATGTGCTAAGTCATGTGCTTAGTGCATTTTCTCACTTAATCCTCTTACCAGCCCTGTAAGGTAGATGTAGCCTCACGTTGTGAGTAAGGAAATTAACACTTGAGGTAAAACAGCATACTTTCTAGCCTGTGTGGCTCAGTGGTTGAGCATTGACCCATGCACCCAGAGATCGCTGGTTTGGTTCCCAGTCAGAGTGCATGCCTGGGGTTGCCAGCTTGATCCCCTAGGGAGGCACGTAGGAGGCAGCCAATCAGTGTTGATGTTTCTCTCTCATCAATGTTTCTCCCTTTTTCTCTCTCTAAAATCCATTTTAAAAAACCCCAACATTTAAAACAGCATACTCAAATTCATACCACTAGTCACGTAGCAGAGCCAACACTTATCTACCAGATCTGTTTATCTGCTGCAAACATTGCCAGGCAGGCATATCTGCTATGCTCTTGTGCAACAACTGTCTAAGTCTTAGGTTATGTGCATCTTCAACTTTACTAGATAGATAATATCAAATATTTTACCAAAGTATTTGGAAAAAATTATACTCCCACATTCAGTATACAAGAGATCCCAGTGCCCAGCTGGTATGGCTCAGTGGACTGAGCATCGTCTCGTGGACTGAACATCGTCTTGTGCACTGAGAGGTCACCATTTCGATTCCCGGTCAGGGCACATGCCCGGGTTACAGGCTTGATCCCCAGTAGGGAATATGCAGGAGGCAGCCAATCGATGTTTCTTTCTCACTGTTGTTTCTATCTCTTTCTTTCTTCCTTTCTATATAAAAATCAATACATAAATATTTTTTTATAAAGAAAGAAATCTCATTGACTCACATCTTTTTTAAAAATTTAATTATTTTTCGCCCTGGCCGGTTTGGCTCAGCGGTTGGAGCTTCGGCCTGCGGTACAGAGAGACCCGGGTTTGGTTCCCGCTAAGGGCATGTACCTCGGTTGCAGTTTGTCCCTGGTCCTGGTTGGTCGTGCGGGTGGCAGCCACTCGATGTGTCCCTTTCACATCAATGTTTCTTTCTCTCTTTCTCTTCCTCTCTCTCCCTTCTGCTCTATCTGAACAAAAAATGGAAAAATGTCCTCAAGTGAGGATAAAAAAAAAAAAAAATTAATTATTTTTCAATTACAGTTGACATTCAGTCTTGATGTGGCTGCTTCTTTATATCCTTAGTTATAGGAGTTCTGTTTATCTAGTTAGTCTTCAGGTGGTTCTCAAGGGTGGTGGTTCTATAATTTAGTTGTCATCTTGATGTGGTAGTGGGAAGAGGTGAGCAGTGTTTACCTACTTCACCATCTAGACTGGAAGTGTCACATCTTCATCAATGTGTTATGTGGCCATCTGCATTTCCTCTTCAATGAATTGACTGTTTATTTCTCTTGCCCATTTTAATTAGGTTAGTATCTTTTTCTTACTGATATTTAGGGATTTCAAAAAGATATTTGGATCCTAATACTCTGTGTTGTAGGTTGATGTTTGTCTTTTCACTGTCTTTATATCTTTCAATCCAGAAAAGTTCTTAATTTCGATGTAGTATAGTTATTAAGTTTTCCTTTGCAGTTTTTTTCTTAAACAAAAAAAATCCAATAGCAATGAATTTTATTCATTCATGTTTAGTCATCTGAAATTATGTCTGCTGCAATAAAATGCTCATTAATGTAAAGGACTTAAATCAATTTCACTCAACAACCTACATAGTAGTCATTCCAAAACATCCTCACAACACTGGCCAGATCAAAACAGTATTTATTTTATGAATGCCACCCCATTATTATTCTATTTTATGGGTTTTTAGCTGTCAGGTATGCACAGCAGAGAAATTGAATGTGGTACTTGGAAAAATACAATTTTTAGAACTGCTGGTTCCCAAGTTCATTGGGGGCTGCTTCTGTAGTAGAGCTGCCTAACAATTAGCTTTTTAACTCTGAATACATCTGACCAATTAGTGAGATGACCTTAATTTAGTAAAATATTCTTTTTTAAGTTGTCAAATACCCCTTTGACAATTTTTGTTGTCAGGTATTATAAAAAAATTAAACAAACCACCCTGGCCAGTTTGGCTCAGTGGTTAGAGTGTCAGCCTGCAGTCCAGAGAGAACCGGGTTTGGTTACTGCCAAGGGCGTGTACCTCGGTTGCAGTTTGTCCCCGGCCTTGATTGGGTCGTGCAGGTGGCAGCCACTCGATGTGTCCCTTTCACGTTGATGTTTCTCTCTCTCTCTCTCTTCCTCTCTCTCCCTCCCACTCTATCTGTACAAAATATGGAAAAATGTCCTCGGGTGAGGATTAAAAACAAAATTTAAATAAACCCCAATAGTATGTGCAAAAAAAAAACCAGATTTATGTTTATGATTTTTTAAATATTAATTAATCCAGGAAGCCAATTTAAAGGTTTATGTAACTTAACTATATTAAAGACAAATAAATTCAATACTATCAGAACTAACAGTTGATCACTCATCCATGAACAGCTTGCATCATTTATTCAATACTTTCTTAACCACTTTGTTGAGAGACAGTTGAACTATCAGCTCAGAGACACTGAATCATTTCAATGAAAGTTACATACAGGATGGGGCAAAAGTAAATTTACAGTTGTTTGTAGACAAAAATTAATAAATGGTAATACAAGAATAAACTGTATCACATACTCAAAAGTGTAAACCTATGTTTGTCATAACCTGTAATATTCAAACCCTGTTTTGCACTAGAAGGAGCATTTGACTTCTAATTTCTCTTCTTCCACCCCCTTCAAATGATCCCTTCAGCATTTTAGAGGAATGTGGAATGATTTTGGTTTTATAATCAATTATAATGAGAATTAGCTATATAAAACACCTGTTCCATTTGTAACATTCTGAATCTTGGTCAACTATTATTTTGTATCTTATTTACAGTTTTTAAAAGCAGTTGTTGTCTAAAATGGAAGTAACTTCTCATATGTGAACATATAGATAAAAAGGAAGAGATTTTATAGGACAGCCACCAGATAGCACAGTAATTCGAGTTCATTCCAGCCATAATGCAGGTTATTCTGACTTTAAAGTATCATTGCATGACATCTTTTCAAATCCATTCCCAAGATATATTATTTTACTTATAGATTTGTGCAATTTTTGATACTAGGAGGCAGCAAGGGTTTGGAGCATATGTCAGAGAACAAAGGAATCTTGAGAAGTTATAATGACAGGATATCATGTAATCTTAAAAAATCGTGTCAGATGCCACAATTATGGACTATAATGGCCACCCAAGTCAAGATGGTGTACTCTTTTTGGCAATTCATTTATCCTACAGATGACCCCTTCAAAACCCAAAAGTTATAACTACAGGAAAAGAGTATCTAAATATTAACCCTAATGCCAGCCTTCCTAGGCTCACACATACTACAGGGCCAGAAGATAGGTGCTTTAAAAAAAATTCTTATTGCCCTGGCTGGCTTGGCTCAGCGGTTGGAGCGTAGGCCTGCGGACCAGAGAGTCCTGGGTTCGGTTCCCGCTAGGGGCACGTACCAAAAAAAAAAAAAAAAAAAATTATTATTTCAGAAATCTTTCTCTATACTGAGGTAATAAAAATATTCTTTCTTTCCCCCTTTTGTAAGTTTTACAGTGTTTGCTTTCACATTTAAAACCACCTGAAACTGATTGTATGGTGTGAGGTAGTCACTTTTCATGTTCTTTTTTACAGCCGTCCAAAACGGTGAGGAGAGAACAGACTTCTCTAGAGACCAGTCACTGCCCCTGTTAGTTCACTGACATCGTTAACAACATTGGTAGAGTTTCTCACTCACCAAATCATTGCCTGTTGCTTTGTCCTAATCCTATTTCAACCTTTCTCACCCCCAGGATGAAAGTTGTATGTACAACCCAACAGGCAAGGCAGCTAAGTGCAGAGGATACAAAGAGATCCCCGAGGGGAATGAGAAAGCCCTGAAGCGGGCAGTGGCCCGAGTGGGCCCCATCTCCGTGGCCATCGATGCAAGCCTGACCTCCTTTCAGTTTTACAGCAAAGGTACGGAGCTGTTGTGCTCGCTTGGGCAGTACATACACTAAAATTGGAACGATACAGAGAACATTAGTATGGCCCCTGCGCAAGGATGACACGCAAATTCGTGAAGTGTTCCACTTTTTTTTTTTTTTTTTTTTAAAAGGTAAGGAGCTGTTCCTATAGAGCACAATCACCTGACTCTTATGATGTGGGCTTGGCGGCTTCCCAAAGGGCACTGCGCGTTTTCAGTACTTCATTTCCATGTTCAGACCATCTGCTAGAGAGAAAGGAACTGCTGCCGCAGCACAGAGCGTCTCTGCGGTGGGCCCTGCTGACTGGGACAGGATGCTGCAGAGGGCTGCCTGGCGTGGGAGACCCCACAGGGTGCCCCTGCATTACAGAAAGCTTTACCTTGATTGAATGTTTCCTAGGTGTGTATTACGATGAAAACTGCAATAGTGATAATCTGAACCATGCGGTTTTGGCAGTGGGATATGGGAACCAGAAGGGAAAAAAGCACTGGATAATTAAAAACAGGTAATGATGGGAACGCTAAGTTCGTAAGTCATCACCCTCTTAACACTCACATTGAACTCCATCTTCCTTTCTCTCTCTCAAATCAAGAGACAGTTGTCTCAGACTTTCAGTTCTATGTTCCAGAGGCTATTAATTCTAATATTTAGTGGCCAGACACTAGTGCCCAGTATGTATGGGGCAGCTGCTCCCTGTGTAAGGTGCTTAGTCACAAATGAGCGGGATGTCCGCCTCCAGTGACTTCACCGCCCCCCAAAGACACCTAGCTAACCAGAACATAAAGCAGCACCAAGAACCAGCAAGACTTTTGGAATTATATATTTTTTCTTTCTTTTTCCTATAATGTGAACAGTTTCTTAGAGAAGTTTCCATCACTGGTCTGTCTATAAGCAGTAGGGAACAATGTAAACGTTCAATACCCCTGAGTGCAGCTTTTTGACCTTCTAGACACACTTAGGGCAGACGTATATGAGAACTGGCCAAAGATTTTGAAGTCTGTGAAGAGAAATGCTTTTCAAAAAGTAGATATGCATAACAACAATAATTAATGTCTCCTTCCCTGTTATTGGGAACAAATAAAACTACAGGGTAACATGGCTCCCTTGAGACTTTGGGGTAAACAGATTTATGAGAATTATTACTTTTCAATTCCTCATTGGTCAACACCAGCCTGGCAACAGCACTGGTTAAATTTTCTTTCTTTTTTCAATTTATTTATTTATTTATTTTAATCCTCACCTGAGGACAGTTTTTTTCCATTTTTGTTCAGATAGAGTGGGAGAGAGGGATGGAGGGAGGGGGAGACAGAGAGAGAGAGAGAGAGAAACATCGACGTGAAAGGGGCACATCGAGTGGCTGCCACCCGCACGACCAACCAGGGCCGGGGACAAACTGCAACTGAGGTACTGCCCTTAGCGGGAACCAAATGCGGGTCTCTCTGGACAACAGGCTGACGCTCTAACCGCTGAGCCAAACTGGCCAGGGCCTTTCCTATTTTTAAGTCTAATCCTCATAGGAGGACATTTTTCCATTTTTGTTCAAATAGAGTGAGAGGGAGACAGAGAGAAACATCAATGTCACATCAACTGGTTGCCTCCCACATGACCCAACCAGGGCCGGGGATGAATTGCAACCAAAGTACATGCTCTTGACTGGAACCGAACCCATGCCTCATTGGTCCAAGGGCCAACGCTCTAACCGCTGAGACAAACCGGCCAGGGCAAATTTTCTGTCCTTGGTGCATTCCACGGAGCAAGAGTCTCTGTTAAGTTCACAGGCCAAGGTAATAGTGTAACCAAGTTGGTCTGCTTGCTGGAGGGCTGTCAGGATAGAATGTGAAGTTGGGAGTTGCTTCAAACATGAAGCAGCTTTTTATGTCACAGTCCAACCGAGCACCTTCCTAAGGAGGTGTTTCTTTTTCCAATGATCCTATTCTGTGTTTTCCCCTTCTTTTTTTTTATCCTCACCTGAGGACATTTTTCCATTTTTTGTTCAGGTAGAGTGGGAGGGAGAGAGAAGAACAGAGAGAGAGAGAGAGAGAGAAACATCGATGTGAAAGGGACACATCGAGTGGCTGCCACCCGCACAACGGACCAGGGCCGGGGACAAACTGCAACCGAGGTACGCGCCCTTAGCGGGAACCGAACCCGGGTCTCTCAGGACCGCAGGTCGATGCTCCAACCGCTGAACCAAACCGGCCAGGGCTGTTTTCCCCTTCTTAACTCCCAGCCCAGTACTTACTAAGTCCTTTCTTGATCAAGTGCATCCAAGAGAGCTGGAGGGAAATAATGGACACATCCAGGCAGGGTCAGGATCACTGGAGAGCTTTGCAGAAAGGAACACGGATAGGGTACAGGTCCTAAGTAAAATGTATTGGATAATTGAAGAATTTACCGGTTGGGGAAAAAGGACAGAAAACTCATGAAAACAATTTAGGAAGATACCTAGACCAATATATTCTCCCCTCCCCCTCCCCTCCCCTCCCCCTTTTCCTTCTCCCTCTCTTCTTCCCTCCGTTTAGTCTTCCATTCTCTCCACTTGTTTCCTCAGCAATCTCGTTCATTCTCATAGGTTCATTCATTTCTCCTACAGTTTTTATTCCCAAACCCAAAACACCAACTTCAGCCTCTCTTCCTTTTTTCTTATGCTCTAGACTCACATTTTCAAGGTTACTCTTCCTAAAACACAAATCGGATTACATCCCTCTCCCAATCAGAAACCTTCAGTGTCTCCTCCACTGTGACGGATCACAGAGTCCAAATCTTTAGCCTGGCAGTAAAAATAACTCAGCCTGACCTCCATCTCCCTTGCCAGACATACTTTTCATTACACCCTACTTTTCGGCCACAAGATCTTTTTATTTATTTTTTATCCTCACCTGAGAACATTTTTGCATTTATCTTCAGATAGAGTAGGAGGGAGAGAGGGAGAAAGAGAGAGAGAAATATCGATATGAGAGAGACACATTGAGTGGTTGCCACCCACACAAACCCAGCCAGGGATGGCGACAAACTGCAACCGAAGTATGTGCCTTTAGCGGCAACTGAACCCGGGACTCTCTGGTCCACAGGCCAACGATATAACCGTTGAGCCACACCGGCCAGGGCTTGGCCACAAGATCTTAACACATGTCTTATGCTTTCCTGCCTCTGTTACTCATTTCACACTCCTCTACTGGCATCTCATCTCCAAAGATCCCAGTACTATTCAGTCTTTGGGCTCAGCTCAAATGCTAACTCTTACGTAAAGTCTTTTTTGTTCCTCTTAATCAGAAGCAATCTCTCCTACCTTTGAGACCTGTAGTATTATGCCTTCCATTTCTCTACTTTAAACTCTTTAAAGGTAAAAACTGTGTTATACATTTTGTATGCCATTAGTTTCCGGCACAATACTTAGTAAGAGTTTTGATGAATAAATAACTGAGGGTACTAAGTATTTTTCTTGATTGGTCCTACAGCTGGGGAGAAAACTGGGGAAACAAAGGCTATATCCTCATGGCTCGGAATAAGAACAACGCTTGTGGCATTGCCAACCTGGCCAGCTTCCCCAAGATGTGACTTCAGCCAGCCAACCCTATCCTGCTCTTCCATTCCTTCCGTGGTGGCGCAACGATGAGTACTGTGGAAGGGAGTTGGTGTGCCTTTCTTGAAGCAGATGTAGTGATACAGAGATTGTGTGTTCAGTCTCCCCATTCGTTTGTACTTCAGGCAACACTGCTACTACTTTCCTTCTCTCCACCCATGGCCTTTATTTTTCACTGTGGCCACAGTAGGAGTGTCCCTAACAGGTGTGCATTCTTAGGCTAAGAGATGTGACCACAGCCTAGCCTGACCAGGTTGTTTGGGGCTGATGCTGTGCAAATAATTACAAGCTTGAACTCTTCAGATAGGCTCAATTCTCATTCATAGGGCCTGGTTAGCTTTGACCACTCTAGGGGATTAAGGAAATCTGACTTGTCCATCTCCAAGTTCACTTCTGTATCCCAAGGTAGAAATATCAATGTTTTATACCCCAATTCATAAATCTTTTCATCAGTTTTTGGTACAAGTGAACATGATACAAGAAATGTATTTCCTTTTTTCTCCTTTGCATTTTATAAGTAAATCTAGTATTTATCTTTGGTCTATAACGTAATAAATAGCTATTTAGTAACGCCTCATTTTGTGTTGGATACTGTGCTAGGTGCTGGAGACAAAACGGTAATTAGCCCTGGTCAGTTTTCTCAGCAGTTAGAGTGTCAGCCCATGGACTAAAGGGTTGCGGGTTCGATTGCCGGTCAAAGGCACAGACCTGGCTTGCAGGTTCAATCCCTGACCCCTGTCAGGGTCATGTGGGAAGTGACCGATTGATGTGTTTCTGTCATATTGATGTTTCTCTCTCTCTCTCTCTCCCTCCTACTCTATCTAAAAAACAATAGAAAAATATCCTCAGGTGAGAATTAACAACAATGAAAAAGTGAATACAACAAATTCCTTATACTTGATGTGCTCCTAGTTTGTTTGGAGAGACCGTCACACAAACAGTTCACCTAATTTCAGTTTTTGGCTCATTCCTTCTCCCAACTTCTATTAAGTGCTTACTCTGTACTAAGAACTATACTAAATTTCAGGGATTAAATGGATATAAGAGGATTTCAATATTTAATTTCATTTTAGCGGACTGGATTAAGTGACACATGAACTTGGGTCTTGAAAAACTTGGGTCTCTGAAGTTCTAGCATCTAAACTGTTGCTGTCACCAAAAGAATAAATTGAAACTTTTTATAATGGCTTCCAAGCAGTATTAATTCTAAAAGAATTTAACAGGCTAACAATAAATCTGCATAACTGGCTTTACCATTTTTCACAAAATCCTCATTATTACCACTAGAAAGAATTCACATTTATAAAAGCTAACCATGTGTCAAGCAGTATTTAATTTTATTCTATGCAAAATTATTAGTACGACATGACCTGGACTTCAAGAATGTTATAGATAGACATACAAACACCTAATAATACCAACCATAATGAGATAAATAGTAATTATGCAAGTTCAGGAAGGAGTCATTAATTCTTAACGGGATTTTAGATGAGGCTTCCTTGAGGATAGAGCTTTGAAAGATCTGAATGGGCAGAGAAGACAGATGGGAAGTGGAGTAGGAGGAGAGGAGGCAGATCAGGCCGAAGGTTCTCAGGCACAAAGGCTCGGAGAGAGCTGTGTGTGAATGGGGAGGGCTGGGTGGCTCAAGTATAGGTGCAAAGACTACATGGTAGAACTAGGTGAGAAAAGTAGGTTGGAGGAGAATAGCAGAAGGCCTTGAATGCCTCCCATGTCCCAGGAAGTATAACTTTATTTTATAGACACACAGGCATTTAGAAGGCATCAGGTATTTTTTTTTAATCCTCACCTGAGGACATTTTTCTTTTTCTTGTTCAGGTAGAGTGGGAGGGAGAGAGAGGAAGAGAGAGAGAGAGAGAAACATCGATGTGAAAGGGACACATCAAGTGGCTGCCACCCGTACAACCAACCAGGGCCGGGGACAAACTGTAAGCAAGGTACACGCCCTTAGCGGGAACCGAACCCGGGTCTCCTGGACCGCAGACCGACGCTCTAACCGCTGAGCCAAACTGGCCAGGGCAGCATCAGGTGTTTTTGAGCAGGAGAGAGACATGATCAGATCTATATTTTAGCAATATTCCTCTGGCCGTGGTGTAAAGAACAAATAACTGACGGAGCACAAAATGAAGATGCAGGAAAGTGGAGGAAAGTCAGTGCAGCCAACACTGCTCGTGCTCTATTTTCTCTCAAAGGATACTTCACCGAAGAGTGACTCCTGAACTTTTCTGAAGCTTGAGTATGAATTTGGCAGATGGCAAGTTAGGCAAAGGCATTTCAGACCCAAGTGATAGCATATTTAAATGTTAGTCAGGAGAGAGCATGTTCAGTCATCTGCAAATAGTCTTTCTTGAGCTTTGAAAGGACCAAAGATAAACTTGAGAGATATCAGACTCCCCAACAGGCAAATCTACACAGTTCTGTTAGTTTGATCTGGAAATTTTCCCCTTCTGCCTAAAGAACATCCTTTAGAATTTCCTTTTGTATGGCAACAAATTTACTCCATTTCTATATGTATTGGGATTTATTTCTAGATTTTCTATTCTGGTACATTAATATGTATATCTATTCTTGACCAGAATCACACATTTATAATATATTTTAATATCTAATAGAGTTAGTCTTTCCCTTTCGTATGTCTATTGGCCATCTGTATGTCCTCTACGGAGACGTGTCTATCCAGGACCTCTGCCCACTTTTTAAATTGGATTGTTTGTTTTTTTGGTGTTGAGTCGTATAAGTTCTTTATATATTTTATTTACCAGATGTATCATTGGCAATATGTTCTCCCATACAGTGGGTTTTCTTTTCATTTTGTTGATGGCTTCTCTTGCTGTTCAGAAGCTTTTTAACTTGATGTAGTCCCATTTGTTCATTTTTGTTTGTTTCCCTTGCCCCAGAAGATGTAGTGGTAAAAATATTGCTACTTAAGATATCTGAGATTTTACTGCCTATGGTTTCCTCTATGATTTTTATGATTTCATGAGTTACATTTAAATCTTTTGAGTTTATTCTTGGGTATGGTGTAAATTGGTGGTCTAGTTTGTTTGTTTGTTTGTTTGTTTTTGCATGAACCTGTCCAGTTGTCCAACACCATTTATTGAAGAGACTGTCTTTATTCAGTGAATGCCCTTGCCTCCTTTGTCAAATATTAATTGGCCATAAAAGCGTGGGTTGATTTTTGAGCTCTCTGTTCTGTTCCATTGATTTATATGCCCGTTCTTGTGCCAGTACCATTGCTGTTTTGATTAAAATGGCTTTATAGCCCTGACTGGCTTGGTTCAGCAGTTAGAACGTCAGCATGCAGACCAAAGGATCAAGGTTCGAATCCCAGTCAAGAGCACGGTCCTGGGTTGCGGGTTCAATACCAGCCTCGGTTGGGGTCATGCAGGAGGGAACCAATCGATTGTCTCTCTCACATTGATGTTTCTCTCTGTCCCTCTCCCTGCCTCTTCCATCCACTCTGTCTAAAAAAAAATCAATGGAAAAATATCCCTGGGTAAGGATGAACAAACAAACAAACAAACAAACAAACAAACAAACAAACAAACAAACGGCTTTACAGTATAGTTTGATATCCGGTATTGTAATTCCTCCAACTTTGTTCTTCCGTCTCAAGATTGCTGAGGCTACAGTCGGTGTGGCTCAGTGGTTCAGCGTTGACCCATGCACCAAGAGGTTGCTGGTTTAATTCCCGATCAGGGCACAAGCCCAGGTTGTGAGCCAAATCCCCAGGGAGAAGGAGCATGCAGGAGGCAGCCAGTCAATGTTCTTTCTCATCAATGTTTCTCTCTTTCTCTCTCCCTTTTCTTTCCCCTCTCTCTAAAAACCAATAAAGAAAAAAAAAAATATTTAAAAAGATTTCTTGGGCTATTCAGATACTTTTTAGTGCCATATAAATTTTTAGAATATTTGTTCTAGATCTGTGAAATATGCCAATGGTAGTTTAACAGGAATTGCATTGAATCTATAGATTTCTTTGGGTGGTATGGACATTTTAATGATGTTAATTCTTCCAATCTATGAACATGTTATATGCTTCACTTGTTTGCATCATCCTCTATTTCTTTTTTCAATGTCCTATAGCTTTCCAAGCACAGGTCTTTTCCCTCCTTGGTTAAGTTTATATCTAGGTACCTTATTTTTTTCTGTTGCAATGGTAAATGGGAATGTTTTCTTTGTTTCTCTTTCTTAGAGTTTATTATTGTTGTATAAAAATGCCACTGAACCCTGTCTGTTTTGGCTTAGCAGTAGAGCATCAGCCCATGGACCAATGAGTCGCAGGTTTGATTCTGGCCAATAACACGTACCTCGGTTGCAGTTCGTCCCCGGCCCTGGTTGGGGTCATGAGAGAGGCAACTAGTTGGTGTGTCCCTCTCTCTTTCCCTTTCTCTCCCTCTCTCTCCTTCCCACTCCATCTGAAGATAAATAGAAAAATATCCTCAGGTGAGTATTAAAAAAACACTACCACTAATTTCTGGATATTAATTTTGTGTCCTGCTACTTTGCCAAATTTATTTATTAAATCCAGTAGTTTTTTGGTGGAGTTTTTTGGGATTTCTATGTACAATACCATGTCATCTGTGAATACAGTTTTACTTCCTCCTATCCAATATGGATGACTTTTTAAAAAAAATCCTCACCCGAGAATATGTTTCTATGGATTTTAGAGAGAGAGAGGAAGAAAGAGGGATAGAGAGAAATATCGCTATGAGAGAGAAACATTGATTGGTTGCCTCCCACATGTGCCCCGACTGGGGATTGAACCCACAACCTGGCATGTGCCCTGACCTGGAATCAAACTCATGACCCTTTGGTGCATGGAATGACACTCCAACCAACTGAGCCACACTGGCCAGGGCCAATTTGGATGCCTTTTATTTTTTATTTTAAACAAATTTTTTCTTTATTGATTTTAGAGAGAGGAAGGGAGAGGGAGAGAGAGATAAAAATGTCAATGAGAGAGAACAGCGACTTGCTCCCCTGCATGCACCCCACTGGGGATTTGGCCCACAGCCTGGGCGTGTGCCCTGACCAGGAATCGAACAAACGACTTCTTGGTGCATGGGTTGGATGCTCAACCAGTGAGCCACACCAGCCGGGGGGATGCCTTTCATTTATTCCTCTTGTCTGATAGCTGTGGCTAGGACTTTCAATACTATGTTGAATAAGAATGGTAAAAATAAACCCTGGCTGGTGTGGTTCAGTGGTTAGAGTGACAGCCCACAGACCAAAGGGTCATGGGTTTGATATCAAGTCAAGAGCACATACCTGGGTTGCACGTTTGATCCCTGGCCCTGGTCAGAGCATGTGCAGAAGGCAACCAATTCATGTCCCTTTCACATAATTTTTTCTTTCACTCTTTCTCTCTCTCCCCCCCTCCCTTTTTTCCACTCTCTCTAAAGATCAATGGAAAAATATCCTCTGCTGAGGATTAACAAGCAAAAAATAAAATACTAAGAAACAAATTTAACTCAAGAAGTTAAATTTGTACTCTGAAACTTGTACTCTGAAAACTACAAAACACTGTTGAAAGAAATTTA